CTGCTTTTTTAAGATGGCTTACATTGACAGGAAGCCAAAGGAGAAGAGTGCTGGTTTTGGAAATATTTTCAAGCCAATGCGGCAAAGAATCGAACTCATTTTCGTTTGCCCTTTGCTCTGATTCAATAACTGACATAGGCGGCAAAGCATTGAACTGGTTGTGGGCAGCTCATCGGACCCAGAAAGCAGGATGGTAAGAGGAAGAAGGAAGACCAGAGTTCATTATATGGCATGCGAGGGATTGAAGCCGACGATGGCAGAATCGGCGGCTCTCGGCTGCGACTCACATAAGAGAGGGGAATCAGAAGAGGGAGAAAGGATCAGAGGCTTCGGCCTCTTCTGCTTGCAACGTTGAAGACTTCGACCGCTGGCTCCTGGGAGACACTATTCGCCGAACAATTATTACGTCCTCCCACCGGTAAAGCCTCCGTACACCTCGGTACAGCGGGATTTTGCCTGTGACCGAATTATTCTCTCATTCGGTCGACCGGACCAAATAAAACTTCCTATTCGCCATCGGATGGGCAGGCAGGGGCCAGATGGGAGAGATTCTTCTGTGTGGACACTGGACGGGAGAACCTTTCGGTCCTGGCTTGTTACCGCGGTACCGTCAGTACATTTTTTGGGTGACGTGCCAAATTTTTGTTGGTCTCTAGACGACGTCCGGACTCCGCACATAATAAAAATTCCAAGATTGGGACATATCAGGGCAAAAAATTAATTTTGAGGGGGGCATAGTTCCAAAACTATCCCTCCTATATTTTTTTTTTTTTTTACCGTATGGATCCACTCATGTTGGTGCTTGTATTTTTATAATCGAACGCAACATTAAAATTATTCTTTAATGGGTTCAGATTATTGAGAATTGAGCTTGTATCTCGATTAACTTAGTCAAATTTAAGGGAAAACAACATATGATATACAATCATATATTTAAACATAATAATTATGATGCTTCATTATCAATTTCATAATCAAATTGCAATGAGAAAATATATATTATCCCGGAGGACAAAATTAACATTTGCTATTGAGAATTTTATTGTGATGATTATGATATTGAGTTTTCTTTTAATCTTTTAGTTTATTCAAAACAACAATTTTCTCAATTCTATTTATGAGCTAAATAGAATGAGATTTATTTTAATCTGGGGTCTTGAGTCTCCCATAAAGATAAACATTTATGTTTAATTATATCATGGAAAAATTAGATTTCTTACGAATACTTTCGATTATAGCATTGATCGATATTTCATTGGAATTTTTCAATGAGTAATATGAAAGTATAGATGTTGAATTTTGGATTTGATCGAACTTTGAGCACTTATTTTGGAGACCAAAAAATGAGAGGTAGGAGGCACTTTAAGATTTTGAAATAATTCAGAAGTACCGCAATCTATCATATGTTGTGCTTTAAAATTTTGAAGGAGGAAATTTTATATTTGAGTTAACATTTTATTAAACATTTAGGATTATATTCCCGATAGTGATGACTTAAGATTTGAGGTCCTACTAAGAGCCTAAATCTAAGTTGGGTGCTGCAGAGTTGTAGCCAAAACATATCTAATGCACTTTGGACTTACATCAACTTGTATTGGAAAGCCAGCTAAATTACCCGAGTGCTTTAAAATCATGATTTTGATCTAATGAAAGATGGTAGGCTTTTATTTAAGTTTTTGAGAATTTGATGCCAATATTTAAAAAATTTTATAAATTGCCTATTTACTTATGAGTGATATGATGTCACGACCCAACCCGACCGGGACGGATCCCGCTCGCATCGGGCCGCGACGGAGCCAACAAATCCAGGATCTGGCTTTGGAATTTGCTTCAGAACTTTCTTCCAAATATAACACAGAGATAAAAACACAGAGTTACTATAAACATCCAAACACAGCGCAGTTCATCTATCTTTTCTTTCATTAAAATAATCATATACAGATACAGTACATGGCTTACAGACAGAAAGAACAGAACATAACAGAAAAGACATGACTGTACAAAAATCAAAAGTATCAAGTACCTAATCACAGATCAGACTCAGAACGTCTAGTCTAAGACCTCCTTCCCTTTCCTAGAACCTGAAAACCACGCAGAAAACAAGGATGAGCTAACAGCTTAGCAAGACATCAATCACCAATCAAAATAATCAGAACTTCCCACCAAAAAAGTATCCGTACAGAATTCGAACAATCATACATAAATCGTACAACAGACAGAACAGATAACAGTTCAATCAGAATCAAACATCGAATACGGAAACTGAAATCATATCAAATCAGATATCATAAAGCTTTCATGTTACAGAGCAGACAGAATCATACGGAATAATCAGAGTCGTACAGAAATCAGAAATCATATAAAATCACATTACAGCTTTACAGAACAGATAATTTCAGAACAGAACTTCCTTCCAGATGTCAGAACTTCCCCTATTCCCGTTATGTCTCCCTTTTGTGCATATAACACTAGAACTTCCCCTTATAGCTCCTTTTGTGCTTATAACACCAGAACTTCCCCTTATAGCTCCCTTTTGTGCTTATAGCACCGGAACATAATAGATATACAAAATTTTAGATTTCAGAACTTCCCCTTATGTCTCCCTTCCCGGACCCAGACAACGGAATCACATAGGATTCCGGCCCCTTATAACTCCCTTCTGATAGCATACAATTAATCAATTCATTCAATGTACAATTCATAACGGCAGTATACTGAATTTACACAAAATTCACAGATCCAGAAATTTACCAAATTACCACAGAACATCCACAACAACATTATAATACTTTTACTATACTGACAAAATATTTTTCAACATCCTGATAAATTGCAGTTCAATTAAAACACCTCGGAATCCAAAATATCTGATAAAAATCTTCCAGAAATATTCAAAACGTGCACAATCATCATCTTGGAAACATACCAAAAGTTACGCGATACAACCTGAAGCAGTAGAAAATAACACACGAAATTCGCTAACGGAAACAAAATCCAGAACAGAAAAGTCGTCAAAATCCACGGTTCTGAAAATTGAGAAAGGCAGAATGTGGCTTACCTCGAGTCGGTCAACTTCTCTAACTACAACATCGGACGAAAACAGACCGGAGTCGCTCAAAAATCCTCTTTTCCTTTGTTTTTTTCTCTCCTGGACATACTGTTCTTTCCAAAAATATCTCATTTTCATATATATCAAAACTGATCGTACCGGACGATCGCAACTTCGTCCCGGACGATTTGGTGCTCTGGACGAATTTCGTCCAGAGGAAAATTAATTATCGTCAGGACGACTTGGGCTCTGGACGGATTTCGTCCAGACGAAATTAATTATCGTCCCGTACGACTTGCCCTCGGTAAGAATTTCATCCAGACGATCCTATTTTCTTCCAGACAAACCATACAGCCATAACTATTTTCCTGCACAACCTGTACCGATCGTCCCGGACTATCGAACTTCGTCCGGACGAACTTGGGAGGAAACATGGTCTTTACATATGATTTAGCACAATACAATTAAATTTTAATTAACTTCTATTTATTTCAAAAGCAATGCACCTAAATTGACAATTTATGTAAAAATTATGTGTTTGAGCTTTATAAATAACCTATATTTTAATTTAGTTAAAAGAATTTAGAAGTCTTTTTAAGTCCAAATCACAAATTGTTTTCATCATGTGATAGATATTATTATGTTTTAATTATAATAATATTTATGTAAATTTTGGGCACTTGTGCAAATCCACTTAAGAAATTAACACGATTTGATACAAGTGGAAATTTTGAGATTATTAGGCCGTTTTGTAAATTGATTTAATCATAATTTTTTTAAAAGAAAATGAGCTATTTTATAAATATTTTTCTATAACTTTTAAAATTTCAAAAGGTTTTATATTAATTTTAATTAATATATTATTATATTATTCTTTTAATATAAAAAATACACCTCATTATATTATAAATAATTAATAAATCTAAACATATATAATAATTATGCAAATTAATATCACTTACATACACCTCATAAAATAACTTCAGTTTTTAAATTGAATATCTTCAGTTTTTCCCCCCTAAAAGATGTTAATTAAAAAAAAAACGTCAAATTTATCTTTACAAAAAAAATCTCATATTTAATATAATCTATAATGTGATCGAAAGACTTACATCTAAGTATAGAATTTTGAATGAGCCGATTAATATTTGCCAAAAATGATCACGATATAGAGTTGCACATTTTATATTTTATTAATTATTTATGATCATTTGTGCAATCTCATTTTAAGTGTGGGGCTTTTTGAAAATATAGCATAGCTTCTAATTAGATGCATTTTTTATTATATTATTTTCTTAACATCAATTAAGGTGCTTGTGGAAAAGCTGTTTAATTACTTGGAATTAAACCGATTTCACTGTAGAAACAAAAAATATATATATTGGATTACATTTTTACAATATTTTAAGTTTTATATGTAAAACCAACTCTGAAAATAGAAGCAAAACTGCATATTAAAGCCCATCTAAAATACCGTTAACAGATGTTTACATTTATCAATTCAAATTGGAGGGGTCTTAGTGATAAAAAAAGCGATAGAATTATAATTTTTTTTTTATGAAATTCAATGGCACATTGATACAGAAAAATAATAATAAATAAATAATAAGAGTATATTAAAAGTTATAATTAGAAATTTTAAAATATATTCCAAAATTTATACCACTATAAATAATTACAATAAATTTATGCCAACATTTTCCTACAAAGAAAGAAAATGTCTCATAGAATCCGCACCTCTAACGGTAAAAAAAAAGAGCCGTTGGCTAGCCGTGACAAAATTTAGGCCGAATCCCATCTATAAAGATCAAAAGACAAAGCCATCTCTTCACAGTTTTCTTTTAATTATTTCTTCTTCATCTCAGAAACGGTGAAGAGGAGAAAATAAGCGCGAACACCGTCAAGTTTTTTCCTTCAAGATTCTGTTTTCTTTCTTCGAGCCTAAGGATCTTGCTCTTTTCATCTCAGAACTGATTTTTTTTTTGTTGCAGGGTTTCTCTGATTGTTCTTAGTTTGTCAATTTATTTGTTTATTTATTTGAAAATTGCATTTCTTCGTTCGCTTTGATCTAACAAATGGATGCAGGATCTTACCGTTATTCTTTCTCGTCTTCAACTGAGAAGGCTCAGTCAAGATGTCGCCAACCCCTTGCGAGGGTTGGATCCACAGTCTACATCCCTCCTCTACGCAGTTCTTCTTCCAATCCACCTTCTTACAGGCAAAGCGTAAGATTTTTTACTCCCTCTGAAATTATAGAATTTTTTTTCTTTTTTTCCCATGCTGATTTCTGCCTCTGTACTGACTACTAATCCACTGGATTATTCAGCTTGATTTGTCGTTATTTCATGCGTCTTCCTTTCAACATCAGATAATTTATCCGGACCTTCTAAAATTTCTATCTTATTGGTCTCAATATCAGGGAGACAGGTTCATACCAGATAGATCTGCAATGGATTTTGATGTTGCGCATTACTTGTTAACTCAACCCAGAAAGGAAAAGGAGAACACTGAAGTTGTTTCACCTGCAAAAGAGGCCTATCGTAAGCTGCTCGCTGAGACCTTTCTAAATAACAGAACCAGGATATTGGCATTCAATAGAAAGCCTCCAGTTCCCACTGATTCAATGCTCGCAGCAATTTCTGAGGCTACTGCTTCCAACCAAAACAAGACTACCAAGAGCAAAAGATACATTCCCCAGGCAAGCCTTTTCCTTCTCTCGAACTCCTTTTTTTAGGTGATATTTGCGGTTTTTTTACTCTTTTTTACTGTTGGTTAAAATTGTTTATGCATATGGTAAAATTACAGTCAGCAGAGAGGACATTAGATGCTCCAGATCTTGTGGACGATTTCTATTTGAATCTGCTTGATTGGGGAAGTAGAAATGTTTTGTCCATTGCTCTTGGCAACACTGTGTACTTGTGGAATGCTTCTGAAGGTTCTACTTCTGAGCTTGTGACCGTCGAAGATGATTTTGGTCCTGTCACCAGTGTTAATTGGGCTCCTGATGGTCAGCATCTTGCCATTGGACTGAACAACTCTGAAGTTCAATTGTGGGACTCGAGCTCAGCTCGACTTGTAAGTGAATAACTATTTAAGCTCAGTTTGAACAATCACTCGGCTTATAAGTTTTCATTCAATCCTAGAAAGAATCATTTAAATAATGTTATACTACCGTGAAGCATATTTAACAGTTAGAAGATCATTCTTTAGCCTCACTTGAAGTTTTTCCTTTCTGAATTCAATGATGTTACAGTTGAGAACACTAAAAGAAATTCATAGATCTCGTGTTGGAACACTTGCATGGAATAACAATATCCTCACAACAGGTGGAATGGATGGAAAGATTGTGAACAATGATGTGAGGATAAGAAACCATGAAGTGAACACCTACAGAGGTCACCAGCAAGAAGTTTGTGGATTGAAATGGTCTGCATCTGGCAAGCACCTAGCTAGTGGTGGCAATGATAACCTGCTTCATATATGGGATTTCTCCGTGGCCACCTCTTCTTCATTCTCCTCAGCTGCAAATCAAAACCAATGGCTCCACAGACTTGAGGGCCACAATGCTGCTGTTAAAGCTCTTGCTTGGTGTCCTTTTCAGAGTAATCTTCTTGCTTCCGGCGGAGGAGGCACCGATCGATGTATCAAGTTCTGGAACACCCTAACTGGGGCTTGCTTGAATTCAGTTGATACAGGCTCACAGGTTTGCGCGCTGCTATGGAACAAAAATGAGCGTGAGCTGCTGAGTTCTCATGGATTTACTCAGAACCAGCTCACACTGTGGAAGTATCCATCTATGGTGAAGGTTGCTGAACTCTGTGGACATACTTCTAGAGTTCTATACATGGCTCAGGTAAAGAGTATATTTTTTGATAGTTTTGTGAATATTTTGACAAAAAATAAAAATAAAACCGGAGTTTGGGTATTGCAGAGTCCTGATGGATGCACAGTGGCGACAGCGGCTGGAGATGAGACATTGAGATTTTGGAATGTGTTTGGGAATCCAGAAGTGGATAAGCCAGCAGCTAAGACAAAATGCACAGAACCCTTTGCTAATTATAGCCGCATCAGATGAGGAAAACTTTATTCAACAGCAGAAGCGGGATGGAAAATGGTATCATTTGCCGTTTTTTTTTTTTTTTTTTTTTGGATAAAACCCTTTTTAATTCCAAATAACAAAAAAGCAGAAAAAAAAAAAAAGGAAAGTTTACTGATGCAAACTGAACTGTGACTGTAAAATTTTCACTTTCATTTTCTGTATCCTTTACAGATTTCGTGTTTTTAGTATAAGCTCATTAGCCTCATTAAGCCTTTCGTGGGCTGATTCAAAATAGAGAAACTCGTCTTCATTAGGTGATTAATGCAGATATCAGTGAATATCAATTAGGTGAATTGAAGAAATTAAGTGGAACTGACTTCCTCTTTTGTCCTTTTGCAGGATATCAGTGATATATAGGAGAGCTTTGATTAAAGTAGCACGACGCTTAGATTTCTTTGAAGGATGAAGTTTTGGTATATATAGTTGACAAGGAATAGTTTCTAGAACTCATTGGCAATTGAATAAATGTATGCTTGGTAGATTGGATGGTGCAGCTCAAGAATCTCTTTGAATACGCCGCCTAAGATGTAATTCCTATCTAATTATATTAAAAGAATTGAACAAGCATCCTTTTTTTTAATTTGAGCTTTCTTTTATTAGCTGTTTTTTATTTTGATTTGCCAATTTTATTTGCGAGACTATACTGCAAAAGCATTATTGTTGCTGGGTTTTATAAGACATAATTCAATCAATAACTAAGAACTTGGTAGATCTTAGTAAAATACTAATTTGTTGTCCCCTCCAGGACGCACTAAATGTGGCTATTTAATTAATTTAGTTAGATCAAATGTAAATATACGAAAATAGCAGCCTTCCCTTCCTCCTTGCCCCTTTTTCGCAATAGCAGCCTGCAACAAGTCCTTCCTCCTCTTTTCCCCTCTCCTTCATTATTTTTTTTTTATTGCCAAGGAATTGGAGGGATGTTCTCTCTTTTGTAGAGTTTATGCTATTTGATTAGTATTGTGTGGAAATACTATTATGATAAGTTTATCTTGATTTGGGAAGAAGTCTCGTTTATGTTTGATGTTTAAATTGTTATGTTGTCATTTAGGCTTGATTGAGGATATTCATTATATTCCTATATAGACATGTTGAAGGCCGGGTTTGTAAACCTTATGTTTCAAGCATTGGTGAATTTATCATGATTCTTATTTGTAGGATCGTCGAGTCGTGTTGCTTGCCTAATGGTAAGTAACTGTTTTTTATTTTAGTGTTAAGTGTATAGACATGTTGAAGGTCGGGTTTGTAAACCTTATGTTTCAAGCATTGGTGAATTCATCATGATTCTTATTTGTAGGATCGTCGAGTCGTGTTGCTTGCCTAATGGTAAGTAACTGTTTTTTATTTTAGTGTTAAGTGTACCCTTCTTTGTTAGGGCCGTGATATTTGTATTGGAATTCTTTTATAATTACTTAAGTTGCTAGTTTATTTTTAATATTTGTTAGTATTGTGCATATCAGTGATCTTATTTATAGCTCACATTGAAATTATCATATATTAAATTATAATCAGTTAGCAAGATTCATGATTTAATTATGTATGACCTCATGTAGATATAATTTTGTATCGACATGCATGCTCTCATTTGGATGTAATAAATATATTCTTGGCGAATCATACCAGCTTTGTTTATTACAGTATATGATACTCATGGTATATATTATAAATTATATTGTTTATTACAGTATTGGTTAACACATGCTATTTATTTGTAATAGTGCTTGTACTATATGATTTGAGTGTATGTCAGTAGAACTCTATTGATTTTTCACTACTCAGAGTGACGACTCTACAAGAACTGGATTTCCTTGGATTTGTGTTTACCTTCCTGGTATAGATATATAATAAACCGACTATAGAGATATATATGCTTAAATGTAAGAAAATATAAGCAAATATGAATTAAAAGTAATAAATGATTGTAAGTCATTTTTGAGGTATGATAATACCTAGTGTGATTGCATTTTAGGCAATAAAATAATTGCATTAATAGTAATTTGTCACATGCATTAATGTTATTAGCAAATTAGATTTCTCTTGTAAGAAACATGAGATGTGCCCTTATTTTTTTGAATTGGTGCCTTTAAGTTATTCCTTCCCCATTAGTTTTCTATATTGTATGCCCCAATTATTTATCATTTATGTTTGGATAGATACGAGTTACTTGCTGAGTTTGATTTATCGCATGTTGTCTTTTTTCATTAGGTCCTGCAGGCATGTTTGGTGTACCGCTACCTCAGGAGCAGGGTTACTAGAAATATATTGTTTTGGCTATTTATTATTTTATAGTACTTTATTATGTTTATGCTTTTATTTTGAGGTTTGGGTGTTTTCTTTCATACTTTTTGGTTCTATATTCCTTTTGACTTGCATCAAAACTTTGTTATTTGGATGTATTAGTTATTTGAACTTCTAGTAATGAATTAACTTTTATTTTACTTTCTTTGTTTACTTATATTTAAAAATGCTTCTCTTTGTAAATACGAAATAGGTCTTCCCATCCCTTCATCGTGCCCTATGTTGTTGAGGTGTATCACCTTCCAAACATGGGGTGTGACAGAGTGGTATCAAAGCAATTGTCTCTGATGCCATATCAGCAACAACAACAAGAAATGCAGTATCAATCGCCGTGACCTCCGATGCAATAGCAGTGTCTTCACCATGACTCAATAAAAGGCCCATGAAGCTCCTGATGTGGTGACATGCATTATTTCTATTCATAAGTAACCAACAAAAGTATTGTTTGATTTTAGGGCATTGCATTCATTCATATCAAACAAGTTGCATTCATTAATATCAAACAAGTTTTACATCAAATGCATCATTGTCTCAATTGCAAGCTTATTTATCAATTTATATGTCATTTGGAACTTCTTTGATAGTCACTCAGTGTATTCATGATTGAGACATTATAATCAACCATATGCCTGCAACTCTTATTGTATTTCAATTACCTACATTTGATGCAATATTTGGAATGGACTGGCTATCTAAGAGATGGGTAAATTTTCATATACCCGGTGCCCCAACATTTAGCTTTAGCAGTGCAAGAGAAATCTTGTCTTACATTTGTAATTAAAGTTTGTAAGATGATTTATCATGGGTATATTGGGTATCTTGCTCATGTGGTGGATATCAACAAACCAAGCATAAGTTAAGATAGTGTTATGACAGTTCAAGGGTCCCTGATGATTTGTCTGGCTTGCCTCCTGATTGTGAGATTAAGTTCCATATAGATATAGTTTTGGGTACTACTCCAACTTCAAAAGCACCATATCGTATGGAAACAATCAAGCTTCAAGAATTGAAAGTGCAACTACAATAATTGTTTGATAAATGATTCATCCGACGTAGCATTTCATCATGGGGAGCATCAGTCTTGTTCGTGAAGAAGAAAGATAGAAGCATGAGACTTTGCACATATTAGAACTTCTCTAATGTCATGCTATGGGTAGTGCAAATGTAAATGTAATAATAATTAATTATGAATTCAATGTAAACCTTATATGATGTATGAATTATAATAAATATACTCACAAAATTTTTCCCATTCAAATCCTAACTTCACAGGGATATTCACATAAATATTTTAAGGCTTTTACAAAACTATTATAATTGTTAGAAAAGCCTCAATCAACTTATATATTGAAAAATTTGTATAAAAATTAATCAATGAAAATTTAATTTCTTATAATCAAATTATTTAGAATAAAGCGTACAATAACATCATAAAATTTAAGAAAAAGTATTTTGATTCATTATATTTGTTATAAAACTACTGGAATTGAAATCAGAGTTAGGAGTTCAAAAGTCTATTTTGTGAATAGGCTAGATGGTTGAAACATGAGCTTTGGCCTCCAAAATCTCCTCCAGGCAAGCAATACGAAACTTCAAGCTTAAACGATATCCAGCCAATAAGGGCAACAAATCGAAGATTCTACAAGTGAAGATGTAATCACAATTAAAAGAAATTAGAGAGAGAGAGAGAGAGGGAGAGAGAGAGAGAGAGAGAGAGAGAGAGAGAGAGATGCAACGAGGTGGGAGAATATGTCGAATAAGGGAAGGAATCACGATTAGAGAGAGGGGAAATTGTGGCTCCTTCGCGATACAGACAAAGAAGGAAGTGGGAGGAGGATCGGTTCATGCGACTCCTTACGTGTGCAGCGCGAGAGAAATCCCATATCGGTTTGGTCCGGGTAAGAATATAACATTTAATATCTCATTTCATTTGGGTAATGAAGTATCTATGCTTCTTTCATTTTGTAGGATTTTGATCTATATTATTTAGTAGTTCAATCCCTTATTTATAATTTGGAAATTAATATCATGTTTTTTTATGTTTCATGGTCATTTATTTTGCTTAATTTGTAGTCACATTTTTTATATGCTTGAGTAAATAAATATAAATTATGTTATATTTAAATATAGTATTTATTATACCATCCGGTTCGACCGAACCATCAACCTCTCCTTCTAATTCATAGTCTGATTTGATTTTCACTACCTTGGTTATAAATGCCCCCCATTAATGATTTTCTAAATTGTTACTATTGAGTGTACAAGTTATACTCCAAACATTCTATTGAAATTATCATACATATATTAGTTTCATGCATTGTATTAAATGTCATTCATACATGTTGAATATGTCGATATTTCTAAGTTCATGTCATGATAATGTGGTCACAAATTTGTGGAGAGCAATGAAGTGATACAATTGATGATTATTTCATGTTCTATGCTAGAAAAGTGGTTTTATAAGGGCTTGTGCACACATAAATTTCACCCATCTGTCTTGACCATATGTGAGATGAATTAGGTGATGCATAAGTGGAGTTATAAGGGAAATCAAGCTATGTATAATTTCTCTATCTGCTCTAAATAGATGTGAGGTGATCACGTAGAGGTATAAATGAGAATAGATATATACGAATGCATCATGACATGTGTATGTGAATGATGTTTTGCATGATTTATATACAAGTCTTGCATTTCACCTTATGTTATGTCCACGTTTAAATGAAGTTCATGTTATTGTCACATACAGGCTCAGGAACTAAAATGTTGGTGCTGCTTATAATTTCATGCTATTGTCCCTTACAAGTTAAATAAATGTATACTATTGACATAAAATATAACTAATGTTAATAATTAAGTGTACTAAAAAGAATATTGCATAATTACCACCTTTCTTTAACTAAACTATTAAACTTCATATTTATTTCTTATGAAATTTGTTTTAATTATGAATATTGAATTATTTAGTAGGTCTCAGGTAGCTTATTGAGCAACTGGTTTTTCTCACCCTACATATGTTTATATTTTATTTCAGGAAAGGGTAAAGCCTTAGCTAAGTAGAGATAAAGTTGACCAAGCCAAAAGTTTCGGTAGTAGGTGCATGTCTATATTTTAGAGTTATACTTTTATAATATAATCATTTGTATATATGAGTTGATATGAAGAAAAATTTATATTAGATTATTATAAATGACTCTTTTGAAGGAATATGAGTTGTTTATATTTTCTTATAATTTGATGATTTAGTTGGCTCTGATTTACTTATTGATGATGAGATTAAGTAAGAGTCCAGTCATATTTCACTAACAAGTTATGGGCATCATGCACATTAAGCCAACATTAGTGCCAAAATATTGGAGCAGTGTAAGCTAACAAAATTGTATCATGGGAGGAGGGTGAACAACTTGGTTGGTTGCATTAGTAAGTTTTCATATCATTGTTCCCTGTTTTTGTTTGTTGGTTTTGTTACGAAGCAAAATAAATATAAAGTAAAATTTATTGGAGTTTAACATACTTCAAAACATCTCTTTATTTTATATTTGGAATTTGTCTTAGACCCTAATTGGGTGATTTTTAGATTCTAAAATTCATGTAGACTCAATTCCTACCCACCATTGCCTGATGTCACTGTTTCTAATCATCGTAACTTGCTAGATACCGTTGCCAAAACTTGTTTGTTGCTGCAACAATAATCGATCGTTAGCTTCCATCGTGGTCACCACTGCTTGTCCAGGGCTCCCCAACATCGCCATTGCCTTTGCTTCTACCTATTGAAGCTCAAAGAGGGTTTAATTTCTTTTGGAAGAAGAGCTAATACTAGTCTCAAGTATTTGTTATTTATTAAATTTGCATATAACATGGGGCTTGTTTGGTTGCAAGTTTAAGTAATGAAGACTAAAATAACTTTGGAGATCTTTATTGATTTTTTGAAGAATATGAAATATCTTAACTGGTTCATTTTTAATGTACTTGGAAATTGTGTTAACTTCAAACACACAACATTTGTTATGATCTGACGATCAATAGTGTCTGCTAATTGCCACTATTTGCTACTGTTCACTGCCATTTTTCGCCGATGTTCGTCACTAACATAATCATTGTTGTAGGTCATCATCGATTCATCGTCACAACCTACCACCAATGCTATTGTTGATCATCATCATCACTAACTAACGATGGATACCGTCACCATTGCTACAAATGTCCATCGACAGACACCACTATCCTAATCGTCATCATATTTCAAATATTAGTTTTACTTTTTGAAACTATTGAAAAAAGAAAAAGTTAAACTCCTAAATTCATTTTGGAAGTTACCAAACAACCAAAATATTTAAAATACACGATTTTAATTTAGTTTTTGAATACATTAAGTTTTCAAATGCTTAGCATGCAAATGGCCACTCAAGCAAATTATATGATAGGGAAGAAGAAAAAAATTATATCAAGATAATTTAACTGAAAATATATCTGAATGAGTAATATTCGCTTTTAATTTTTAAATATAATATTAAAAAATGACACTAATTCTAACACCAATCCAAAGTCCAAACTAACGTAGTTTATTTTTTCCCAATCGAGAAATTTTATTTGGGGGTAAGTTGTTCAGCTGGAATACGGAGAAGTGAGTTTTTGTTTATTTTTTTCTCGTTCTAAAGAATCAGAAGAGAAGAAAATCTTTAAGACGAGCGCGAAGACGGCGAAAACTGCGAAATCGGCGTCGAGAACAGGTGCGCGAACCTTATATGAATTATTGGCTTCAATTCTGGTCAGAAACCCTAAAATCAAATTGGCCGAACTAATTCGATTTGAACCGTCTTTTTATTTTTTGAAGAAATTGAAGAACAGAAAACAGATGAGCAGCAGCAGGGTGAAGAACTTCCGGCGGCGGTCGGAGGACAACGACGTAAAGGGCGAAGACAAAGCATCCCCTCGCCCTGCCGCAGCTTCGACGACTTCTGGCAGATCCCAAACCCTAAACGCAAACGCAATTAAACCCAAAATCCCAAAACCTGAAGGGCCAAAGCGCCTAAGTTTCGCCGATGAAGAGGAAGATGACAGCCCCGGCATCACAATCACAGTGCGTACTTCTGCTAGAACTCCGGCTTCCGGAGGCAACTCCATTCACAAGATCACATCTTCCCGTGACCGCTCGACCGCGAACACCCCTCACATCCCCTCTAATGTCCAGCCGCAGAGCGGGGAGTACACAAAGGAAAAGCTTTTGGAGCTGCAGAAAAACGCACGTCCGCTTGGCGGAAGCATGTCCAAGCCCCAGAAAACGAATCCCCTTTCTGAGCCCGTTATTGTCCTCAAAGGTATGGTGAAGCCAATGCCGCCTCAACCTCCTCCGCACCAGAAGCAAGAGGAAGAGGAAGCCGAGGAGGATCAGGAGAGTTTTGCAACTCTTGATGGAAAACCGAAGGTCTCATCTGCAATCCCTGACCAAGCTACTATCAATGCCATAAGGGCAAAAAGGGAGCGGCTGAGACAGTCCAGAGGTCCAGCGCCTGATTACATCTCTCTAGATTCCGGTGGAGTTTTGGCTAGCCGGACTTCTGGTGGTGGATCGAGTGATGATGAGGACAATGACTTCCAAAGCAGGATTGCATTGTTTGGCGAGAAGGACGGTAAAGTAAAGAAAGGTGTTTTTGAGGAAATTGATGTAAGGGTGGATGCCTTTGTGGAGAAGGTAGTGGATGAAGAAGATGAGGAAGAGAGGAGATGGGAAGAAGAGCAGTTCCGGAAAGGTTTGGGAAAGAGATTTGATGATGCATCTGCTCAGGTGGGTGCTAACAAAGTCATTCAGACCCCATCCCTCCAGCCAGCACTGGCTGTTCCTTTGAGCACAGTCGCTGGTGTTGGTTTAGGCAGTGAGGCCATGTCGATTCCTCAGCAGGCTGCTGTTGCTACCCGAGCTCTGGCGGATAACATTGGCAAGCTCAAGGACAGCCATAATAGAACCCTGGCTTCACTGGTCAGGAATGATGAGAACCTCTCGGAAGCCTTGTCTAACATCACTACTCTTGAGAAGTCTCTCCAAGATGCTGATGAAAGATATACATTCATGCAACAACTTCGTGAATTCATATCAGTAACATGCGATTTCTTAAAGGACAAAGCTTCTTTGATTGAGGAATTGGAAGAAGAGATGCAGAAGTTACATGAGCAGAGGGCTGCTGTGGTTGAGGAAAGAAGAGATGCTGATATTGCTGATGAGAATGTTGGGTTAGAGGCTGCAGTAAGTGCAGCACGCTCGGTTCTAGATAGAGGTTCTAGCTCTGCTTATATAGCTGCAGCGTCCACTGCAGCTCAGGCTTCTCTGGCAGCTGGCCGAGAAAGTTCAAGCTTGCCTGTTCAGTTCGATGAGTATGGCAGGGATGTCAACCTACAGAAGCGTATGGATTTTGTTAGGAGGGCTGATGCTAGAAAGTGCAGAAAAGCTCAGGCTGAGGCTAAGAGGTTGTCTTTCATTGCAAAGGGAGTTGGTGAATCTCAGCAGATTGAAGGTGAGGTGTCCAGTGATGAAAGTGATAGTGAAATTAGTGCTTATCAGTCCAGTAGGAATGAGTTGCTCCAAACGGCTGAACAAGTTTTTAGTGATGCAGCTGATGAATATTCCAATCTTTCAGTTGTCAAGGAAAGACTTGAAAGGTGGAAGAAATGCTATCTTCCTAGTTATCAAGATGCATACATGTCTCTAAGCGCACCATCTATATTTTCTCCTTATGTGAGACTAGAGCTTCTGAAGTGGGATCCTTTGTATAAGACAATGGATTTCTTTGACATGGAGTGGCACAAGGTGTTGTTGGATTTTGGTTCAACTGGAGGAAAAATTGACTTTGAACCAGAGGATAAAGATGCTAACCTTATCCCTATTTTGGTGGAAAAGGTTGCTCTTCCAATACTGCACCATGACATTGCTCACTGTTGGAATTTATTCAGCACTCGGAGGACAGAAAATGCAGTTTTTGCTACCAATTTAATCATTAGCTATGTCCCCCCTACAAGCAAGGCCCTCCTAGAGTTATTAGAAGTTGTGCGTAGCCGTCTTACAGAAGCCATTGCCAATATTAGTATTCCAGTATGGAATGCAACAGTGATGAGTGTAGTTCCAGGTGCTGCACAGTTTGCAGCTTATCGATTTGGAACCTCCATACGCTTACTGAGAAATATTTGCTTGTGGAAGGATATCCTTGCATTGCCAGTTCTAGAGAAATTGGCACTTCAGGAGCTTTTGATTGGGAAGCTTCTGCCTCATGTGAGAACCATCATGTCAAGTGTTCATGATGCAATTACTAGGACAGAGAGGATAGTGGCTTCTCTTGCAGGAGTTTGGCATGGTCCGAATGTGACAGCAGACCATGGTCAAAGGCTGCAGCCTTTGGTTGATTTTGTGTCTGAAATAGGGAGAGAGTTGGAGAGAAGGCTTGCTTCAGGTGTTAGTGGTGAGGAGACATTGGGTTTGGCTCGTCGGCTGAAAACAATGTTGGTTCAGCTCAATCAGTACGATAGAGCTAGGATCATGTTGAAGGTCTTTCATCTCAAAGAAGCTCTTTGATTATTTATTTTCAGACGTTCTAGTGAAACTTTGTATTTTTACCAGAAGTTGCTATAAGGCACTTTTATGCCACAGAAAACATGAATTTCTTGTAGCAGAGTATTCCTTCTACAAGTGAGATGGGTATGATGGATTCGTCAATTCTCAATTTTCATGCTTTATTATTATCAAAAACAGTTCACTACATCTTTTGTAGATTACATGTTTAATCACTTTTTTTGCAGTTTTAATGTATTGAATAATTGTAGTTTCCTATGATAAAATTTGAAATCTTTTTGTTTATGGATGAAAAATGTCGCCGAATTGTATTTTCTTGCTCATGATTGTATTTGCATGGATTTTTACAGTTCCTTTCGGCTTATCGACCCCTATTGTGCCATCATCATGGTATTTTCAAATAATTCATGTTTTGACATTACTATATTATTCTTCACTGTCAAAAGAAAAAAAAGCAGTATCATGTAATTACAAACCATTGTGATCTATTAACTTGCAAACCACTTATTCTTTGTAATTAGTTAAATTTTACTTAGTGTAGTTTTATCTGTTGTTTGAATTCTATCTGCTTGCCATGTTTCCTCAAGTCCTGCATATTTTAGTATTCGTACTTGTGGGGATTAGAATACTAACAGCATGCACAAGTAGATGTTTTTGTTCTTCTTTAACTTTTATTTGTAATGGGATATTATGATTTTTTCATTGCATCAATTTATGTGCTATTGTATATTTTGTGTCTCTTTAATCCCTGCTTGAAATTTATTATCTTGTGAGTCGGACTCAGTCGGTGACTGTTATATTAACCCATCGAAGACCATTACAGAGAAGTTTTTAGTATTAGAGAGAGCAGCATCTTGTTGTTTCTTTTTCATTCCTTGTTTTCTTCTGCAGAAAAAAAAAAAAATCTTTTTTAGGGTGGTCTACCTTGTTTCATTTCACCATGCAAAATGACTTGGCGAAATGTTTAAGCTGTTTAGTAGCTGAAATGGTGCAAATCTAAAATCTAGTATGCTCGTCAATCTAGATCTTATTTGTCTAGGGGTAGAACCTAGCAATTCAATAGGTTCTTATGTTTTTATGGTACTTTTGAAATAGGTCAGCTTATTGAATAAAACTACATTAGAATATTATTCTTCACTCTCAACAGACCAAAGAAAAAAGAAGAGGTGTCATGTAATTACACACTATTATAATCTATTAGCTTGCAAACCACCTATTCTTTGTGATTTATTAAATTTTAATTAATTTAGGATTATATGTTTGAATTCCATCTACTTGCCATGTTTCCTCATGTCCTGCATATTTAATTATTCGTACTTGTCGGATCATAATATTAACAGCATTCATAAGTAGATGTTTTTTTATTCTTCTTTAACTTTTATTTGTATTGGCATTAATTGTTCTTCACTTTGCATAAATTGATGTTGCTATTATTTAAACCTGTTTGCAAACTTCTTAACCGGTGACTATCAGGACTATCAGGTTAACCTATCAAAGACTGTTATAGAAAAGCCTTTAATGTTAGAGATTCTGGTAATAGCCCTACCCATGATTTTTTATTATAATATCAATTATACAGGCCTTTTTTGGCATGATGGGTTGGCTTAGTATTCTTGATGATGCCCTCTAAACGGGGAAGGCATTAAGATACTACCGAAAGTCACATTGATAGAGGATCCAATTGTGACAAAAAAAAAAAAAAAAACTTCAAGAACATATTTTAAGATCAAAATGATATAAGTTAAATTTTAAAAGTTGCAAATATGGTAAAGTGAGATTAAATTTGTAAAAATGTAAACCAACTCAAATGCATATTGGACTTATAGGAGATTTGTGATAAACTCGAGAGTTCGCTAATGTGCACATTAGACTTCCCCTGCACTCCTATAACTACATGAACACTCAAAATACTCAATAACACATTGAACATAAGGTGAAGATGAATTAAAGGTGCTCCTAAATTTATAACATGAAATTTGATTCCTCGTGCGGTCCACTTAACAAAGAGAGGATAGCGTGAAAAAAATATTGGGAAGGGAGGTCAATGACTCAATGTGATTAAAAAAAAAAGGTGTGGAACAGATGATGATGTGAAAAAGAAATATGCAAAATAGATGACTGTGAAAAAGTGTACTTGGATTCTAATTCATGATGTACGACACCAAATCCGTGAAGCATGTTCCCAAACGGACAGAAGTAGAGGACGCTCTTTTAAAATTTCAAGAGGAAATACTATATGCATTTTAATGATTTTCCTCACAATCAGATTTGCAACACACGCACAAACATACTGGAAGCAATAATAAATTCAAAATACAAAGTCATGTGTAAACTTCAAGGACAATATGCATTCACAACAACTGCTACATCAAATTTTTACACATCTCAAACAATTGCAGTCACGTAAATGATTTTCAAACAAGATTAAATTGTTAAACGTATTGCACATCAGGGGTGTACTAAAAACGTCCAAGTGCACTATGTGACATACATGCTAATTATTAAAAAAGAGGGCATGTTCATATCTCATGAGCCAACAATGCACCCTGTGAATGAATATTTTTCAAATGAGATAAGATTGTGTTTTTTTATGCATCATGGGTCGAACAACCATTATGGTAAAGTCCACAAGGTGTCAAAACACAGAAAAAAAAAAAATTTATCCACGGGTTCCCTAAATGAATGATGCATATGTACTAAAAACGTCCAAGTGCACTATTCAAGCACATAGCAGAACATGCGAGCATATCATTGGCTTTGCAAGCACATAGCAGAACGAGCGAGCATGTCATCGGCTTTGCAAGCATTCTATGCAAGTGCACCAAGATCATGTAAGTATGCATGTGCATCACATAGTACATTAATATGCGTGCAAGTGCATTGTACAAGTATATTAAAAGTATGCAAATACAATGCACGAATGCATCATGAAATGTGCAAATATGCTGTGTAAATGTATCAAAAAACATACACAATACATCAAACAATTGAAATCAATATTCCTTACATGTGTGCCAACTAAAACAAATGTGATAAATGCTAAAATATAAAGTTTGAGAATATTGTGAGGGCCAAGAATAAATTGAATATTTTTTTTTTAATTCAAATATATCTGCATGTGCTTCGACCAATACATTAAATTTTTAAATTCTGGATCTGGGAATGTTGTGTTGGGTTAAAAGAAAGTCATAGTAAAATTTACTTTTTCAATTTGAAATTAATTTATGTGCATGTGCTCTGACCAATATGTAAAATTCTTAATTTTGGGGTTTGAGAATGCTAAGAGGATTAAAAATGAAATAAACCAATTTTAAAAAATACATGATTGCTATGCTATTTAAAATTCATCTCTCTCTTTTTAAATAAAAAATTCGTGCAATTACTTATACCAATGCATCAAATTCATAAATCTAAGGCCTAAGAATGTCATGCGGGCGAGTCTGATCCTACTTGAAATGATTGAAGTTAACAACTTGAATTAATAAATGGATATGTGATTGTGGATATTTGATTTTATATTTGCGTTAAGTCTTCAATGCTTCTTATAAAAGAAATTCATTATAAAGTACACTTCGATCTTAAAGTTCATATGACAATTCACAAAGTTGATACTTGAACTTAATTTTATGTTAGTTAGTGGCCATAGTTGACAAGATTTAAGTGATTAGATAAAATATTTAAATACCCCGAGGGCTTTTTATTTCAAAATGCCCCTAAATCCCAATGCAAATCATTTCAGAGCCACATTCAAATTAAAATATGAAACGTTGGATTTTTATAAAAATCAAATATTCAAGTGAAACTTATCATCCAATATTTAAAGTAAAATTCATCCATCATCTATAGATGTTTATCAAGAATGAGTTAATGCCTTATCAGACGTATCATTATAATTCAAATAGTCTCTTGCTAGTAGGAATATGACATGCGTTCTCTAATCAATAATTTTGCTGCCAAATAGTACCTCATGTAAACGGTACCACACAAATTGGTATGATCGATTCCCTCTAATCGGGTGATTTTGTTGCAAAATGACACCATCAAATTATGATAATGGCCAGAGCCCGTAAGTTCCCCACTGCTAAAAAAAACTCATCTATTAGCCAATATAGATTTGAATTTATCTCGTTTGATAAATATTCATCTCAAGTCTACAAGATATATTTGTACGAAGCAACTTATGAATGCCAACGAGGATCTTTCGTTAGGTTAGGTCGATTAGCTCTTCTAATTAAGTAAACTATATATGACGAAAATCTAGGATGATTAAACTATAAGATTTTGATTGAGATTGTTATCATTCCTCCTACAATCCGTTTTAAGTGCAAGGTAATAAATTTCAAATGCAATATCAAATTGTTGCTATTATATGCTTGGTATTTGGTGCTTATCTAATAGTTTGTCTTAATCAAAAGTTCTCTCTCTTCACTGGGATGTTAATTAATCATAGGGATTTGCGCCTATGGGAAATCTGAATCAACTCATAAAATCTTCATAAAATGAGGGCAGAAATTCTAGGTAGTAACTTATAATAAATCTAATATGCCTTCTGAAAATTTGACCTAAAACATTTTTAAACTCTCCCTAGAGAGAGGTTGGTCGTGATTTTTTAGTGCTTGCACAAATTCCTAGTGAGCCGGATCAACTTGTTGACTTACTATTCAAGTCGGGGAACCCTAATAGGTGTCCAACTTTGAGGTTTGCATAATCCAGCATCGAAGAATGCAAGGTGGTATGAGTCAAGATTGATCACTTAGCGTGTTGCATTGATCACTACAACAACAATAACAACAACATCAAGCTTTTGTCCCACTACGTGGGGTCGACTACATGGATCATTTTTCGCCATTGTGTCCTGTTAAAAGTCAAATTCTCATTTAAATTTAATAAAGAAAGATCATTTCTAATATTTTTCAACCAAATCTTTTTAGGTCTACCTCTACCTTTCTTAATATAAGTCAAATCTAATACCTCAACTTTCCTAACCAGGTCATCAGAAAGCCTTCGTTTAATGTGACCAAACAATCTAAGGAGACTCTCTCTAATTTTATCTTCCACTGGAGCTACTCCAACCTTTTCACGTATATAGATCGGAGAAGTCTTGCCCAAGGCAACATACCCGCGAATATTTAAAACAAAGTTGCTTAATATTTTTTATTGTAGGGAAGTTATTCCTGAGGTTAACAAACTCATTAAGTTTGAAGCATGTGAAAATAATAAGGTGAAAACGGTGCTGAAAGAAGTTTACTCAATCAAGTTCGGAAGTAACTCAGTAGGAAGGGTAATCATCGACAAGCTTCTTAGATGACGACACTTTTGGTCAAACCACACTCAAAAGAGGCAAAATCAGCGAATCAAGCAGCGCACACATTGATGCGATGTGTTACGCGAAAGGTCAAATGACCTCCAATTGCCAAACAAACTATGTCGTTGCAATCAGGACATCTAACTCTCCTAAGAGGGTACCCCTCACAGTCAAATCAGATGAGATTGGTCCAATGAGACAATCGACACCCGAATTGACATACAGCTTAGTCCAAACGACGTCCGATCACAAAATGGGTTTCGTCGTTGCATCCAAAATGTCGCCCACACCCAAAAATCACTATCAACTCGATCAATTGGAGTCGTACGACAAAATCGAAATGAATCTCGAGGCGACTTCGCACAATCAGAGGAAATTAACGAGCAACATCGCTCAAATGACATTTGATCGCAAAATAGACTTCGCCGACGTCGTCAATACTCAAGAATCACTGTCATTTTGATCAATTAAAGTCACACGAAGAAATCAGCGCAAGTCCTGATGTTATGAAGCGCAAATCTAGGAAAATGACGCCCGACGTCGCCTATACAACGTTTGATCGCAAAATGGATTTTGCCGTTGCGTTAGGAATGTTGACATTACCCAAAATTGACCATAATTTTGGCAAATGAAGTTATCGCGCACGAATTTTGAGATGATTGCACACGAATCAAAAAAATTGCATGCAAAATGAAGTGATTTTGAATGATTGGTGTGGTTGTCACTCTAGATTAATAATAATATACCATTATTAATATTAGTATTAATTTAATAAAATCGAAAGTCAAATGAAAAATGCAATTGCAATTTAATACAAACCTCATTTCAGTCGAATTCATCGACAGAAATCCCGTAAATCCGATTGGCTTCGCGATCAAATCCCGTTCATCTGCTCAGAAACTCCTCGATCGAGCACTCCGCTTCCTCGTTAAAACAAAACAGAGCCTCATTTGTTTTTCTGTTTTTTGCCTCCTCCCTCGCGCGATGCCCGTCCAACCTGCTACTGCATTTAGACTCTTCCTTTCCCTTATATTCGAACTCTCTGTCCCATCTCCGATCCTACTTCTTCAAATCCCGTCTCCAAGCCCCTCTACCACACAAAATAGCATGATCCAATAGCCGATTTCCACCCCGCTTGCTTCCACCGGATCCTCAACATCCATGTAAGCGGACAAAAGGCGGTTACAAATTCCCAAATGAGACCCAACGCAGTACGATGCCATGCCACCAAATCTGGAACATCCATGTAAGAGGACAGAAGGTTTCTATAAACTATAACGCCACGCAACTGGATCCGCATCACATGCAAGCGAACAGAAGGCGTCTATAAACTCTTAAATGGAGCGTCGAACACATTTAAATGACAGTTGCCCGCACAATTGATTAGTATTAACATTTTAAAATTCCCCCACATGTGTATTGCAACACATATACACACAAATATGAAAGTACACATGCAAGTACATTAACCCGTATACATGTAAGAATATACACCCGTATGGCCCCTGACGAGCATGTTATGGGTACACATGTGACGTTTAAGGATGTTGCGCGGGTCAAACAATAAACCTAACTTCAAGCCTGATCCTCATACGTGAGCAGATAGGAGTTGACACGGCTCGAGTTATCAAATAAATGTACGGTCGCTGTATCAACCAAGATATTTGTTTTATACTTTCATATTATGCCTTCAAAGCTTATAATAAAAAAATTTCACTAACAAAGGCGTAAAACCAATGACAAACCCGATCTTCTGTCGGCAAGTTGACAGAGTCAACAAGGTTCAATCAATAAAATACAATTGCCCATGAAAACTCCAGTGATAACCGTGTTGAATGTAGATCTCAACCGGAGAAATTAATTTTAAATATTCAAAATGCAACCCAAATGCTCACAAAGCTCAAAATTGTAATGAATTCTAGAATTCAAAATTTTTAAAATTGAAATTCTGTCATCAAACTATTAAAGCAAAATTTATCCACCATCTGCAACAATTTTTCGAGGTGGACAAATCTAAAAATTACTTCAGCTTACAAAGAGCTAATGTCTGGTCGAGAATATTACTAAGATTCATTCTCAAATAGTCTATTGCCAGTAAGGACGTGACACATATCTTATAACCAGCGATTTTGCCGTCAAATGGAATCACATGTAAACAGTTATGACCGGGGCCCTCTGAATGCCGCCAATTGGCACCACTAAATTACTGTTATGGCCAGAGCCCGTATGCTCCCTAAAGGTATTAAATTCTTGAGATATGAATCAACAATATATGATCAATAGGACACAAATTCTCTGTTAGTTAAGATGAATTCAAATTTGTCCCCTTAGACAAATATTCACTCCAGATCTACAAGGTACCCTTGGACGAAGCAACCCATGACTACCAATAAGGATCCTTTTGTCAGGTTGAGTCGACTGCCTCATCTGACCAAGTAGACCAGGGACCACGATGGCCTAGGAAGACGGAACCATGAGATCTTGATCAGGTTCATCATCCATTCCCCCATCATCCGCTTTAAGTGCTAGATGATGAAATTTCTAATTTTAAATGCCAAACTTCCAAACACCTAAACCAATGCTGCTATTATACACCAGATATTGCGTACCTCCACCTATTTGACTGACGACTAGCCTTTAATCGAAAGTTCTCTGTCTTTGCCTGGCGGGGTAATTAACTATAGGGGCTTGGGCCTATAGGAAACCGTAACTCATATCATAAAATCCTCGCATAATGAGAGTGAAATCTCTGTTTAGCGTCTTATTTCAAATCCAATCTGCCTTCTGAAAATTTACCTTAAAACTTAATCCGTTAAAACTCCCCCGAAAAAGAGAGTAGGCCGGGGCACGAATTTTCGGATCGGCACATACTTTATTACAAGCAAGCAATTTAACAAGCACATGCTATTATCTTAAGCTGCTTTCCAAATTACTGACATGAATCCAGCCTTGTCACTTGCAGCTCTATTCATCATTTTTATTTTTTATTTTTTCTCCTTATAAAATTGTGACGGGAGAAGCTTTTTATCTTCTACACCTTTTGTTGTTGACATTGAGATTTTTTTTTCTTCTGAAGATAATTTCCTTGGCAAAAAGTAACCTAAACTAATGAAAGTGCTACTTATTTAATTGTGGTTAGTGAGCAACTCTTTTAATTATTTCTTAAAAAATAAACAATCTGTTAATGAGCCACCTCATTCCTAATATTCCATTGAATCGAGACATGTTTGAGCAGTAGAAGAAAAACTTAAAAACTATATGTATTCTAACTGGGGAAGTTCTCTTCCATGCATTAAGCAAACTATCTTAGACAATGATTGTGAAGGTGAGGGCAGTGATCTCTTTACTGCTAGTTGCTGTTCTTTTCTGGTTCATGTTTGGTCCTTACCTGGCAGAAGAAATATCATCATACATCTTTAGGATAGGGGAGACTTTTCTTCCTCGTTTGTTTATCCTCCTCATATTACTGCTACTGATGGTTATCTTCATGAATGATTTAGTTGTGATTCCCCTGGCGTTATTTGTTGGGATCTTCTCTCTCAGAATTGGACCACTGGGTCCTCTTGTGCTGCTTTTGCTTATCATTTTCTTTGAAAAGTATTTGCAGATTGCAAGGCCTTTGACGATTTACAGATCAACAGGATGGTGATATATTATATTTGATGCTTCTTGTGCTTCTACTCTTCATTTTTTGATGGGCAAAGAGAAGGGAGCAGTTCTTCAGCATAGGAAACATCATACATGTAACTTACGCTATGAGATGGGTTGAATTTTTATTTTTTTTTCGTAAGGTTTTTGTTCAACCTGGATGATTTATGTATTTCATAAAGTATGATTTTGTCAAGAGTCCACCTGCTTGGTTATGCGCCAGTTTGGCTAACTTGTTCTTCAAAGGACTTTTTTCCTGCACCAAAAAAATATTTACTTAGCAAAATGATTAACAAACCCACCTGGTGTTTTCACCTTATACTCTAAAGCCCTCACGACTGGATTTGGGTTCAAAAATGAACAAGATTCAAATCTCATATTCAATGTTCATATCCCAATGTTTTTCTTTTTACTTTTTTCTATTATAGCCTAAGATTGTCTTCATTTGAATGTACAATGAATGCACTCAGGCTTACATATTGAACACTAACCTCATGTAGGGTTGAGATTTTAGCTAGAAGATTAAATCAATTTTTGGTTCAGATCGAGCTTGGATAGAACCAATTGAACCAAATTGCAAGCTAGATTTTTGTCTTGGTTCAACTTCAAGTTGTACTTGAAATATAAATAATATCATTTTTATACAATTAAAATGTATAAAAATGCACATATAACCATAAAAGTATATATATTATAACCATACAAATATGCATATTTAATATTTTTTAAAATAAAAAATAAAAATGAAATATTTTCAAGCAAATTCAATTCACATTTGAGCTAGCTCAAAATCAAATCATTTTGTGGATGAGCCGATTTCAAGACCACTTATATTGATTTGAGCCAATTTTGAGTTGGTATTGGATCGGCTCGTTCACATTTTTAATCTTATATTCTGTTAAAGAAGTTTATAGATAAAATTTGCAATATATGTATCATCTGAGGTTAAAGATGATCTAAGGTTAAAGAGCAATCGTTGGTTGAAAGATGAAAATAATGCTCGAAAGAAAGATGTTCGGAATATTATTTTTTTAACATTTGCAAAACTATGCCTTATATTACTATTATAAGAATAATTATACTAAAAATATAATTTTATTTGTACTTTTGCTAATAAATATATAGTGGATATTGCCCTGTCCCCCTTAAAAAAAAATAAAGAAGATATATTTGCCCTATAAAGTCAAAATTTCCGTTTAAAAGCGGGAGGTCCCACGATCGCTCCAACCCGAAAATGAAGAGAAAAAAAAAAAACAACTTGTTTGACTTATCTCATGATAAAGTTCCCCGCCTCTATAATTGGAGGGGAAATGCATCGAGCACCTTGCGTGCCGCTCCCCGCAACCAGATGGCTTCTTCTTCTGTGTTGTGTCCTCCATTTGGGAGTTTCTCGGCCAAGTATTACTCGGCGGCGGCGGATGGGAGCTGCGTGCGGCAGAACAGCTTCTTCGAGGGAAAGCCCGTCCTCAACCAAGGTGTGGGATATTCTGTCATCCTTGGCTTTGGCGCCTTCTTTGCCCTCTTCACGTCTTTCCTGGTAACCCTCTCTTTTATCTCCTCCCAATCTGATGAGAAGATAGCGTAGTGTCGGGTTCTCCGGTCATTGGCGTTTTGTTTCATTGTCACCATTTGTCATTTGTTTTATATTAAGATATTCCATATTTGTTACATTTATAAAATACAAATTTTCTCTCTCAGACATAAACACATACACATCTATTCATAGTGTACGTAATTCGAGAAATATTATTGTGGTTTATTTTCTTGAAGAAATATATCTGAAATTTTATTTAGGCCAAGTTACCTCCAATAAAAGATAACATCTTGTATTCATGCTCAACTCATCAAAAATTATTTGACAAGTTTGAATTCGAATCTAGTTTGAAACTTAGTTCAAACCTCACTGTTAGAACCTAGATTCAAATGCGAACTCGCTGTGGCCAGGCATCAAAGGGATTGGTAATGTGTTAACGAGAAGGGGACTTTGCAATGGGAGTGTCTGTCATCAGGTGAAAACAATGACATGACTGGCGGCATGTAAAGGAGAAGAGTTCATGAATAGAGTTTGTAGGGGTGGGGAGGATTGCGGGATGGCGGTATGTGTTTGAGAAGAGAAGTTCGCAATGAGAGCTTGTTCGAGACTGGCACATAGACCGCTTTTTGGGAAAAGCATCCTTGGGTTGATGATGTAGAGCTCACAGGGAGGCTGATGCAAAGGCATTACGGCCTTATGGGACAAGCACATTTATAAACAAATGTTCGAACTAAACTCTTATTTGAATCAAGTTCCAACTAAGGCTTGAATTCGAATAAGTTTGAACTAATCTCATCTGCTCTTTACTTCAAGAAGTTCATGAATACAAGAGGAGAGTAACTTTATCCAGAATAAATTTTCATGCATTTTTTTTCTAAGAAAATATTTGGACATTTCTCCAATGTGTATTATGAGATGTATAAAGTTAAATTACAAAATTTTATCGAAAATTCAAATATATGTTTTATACTTAATACAAAATTTTTCATCAAATATAGTAATAGTTATAAGGAAATAAGAGGGGATTTTGGACCAATCTTATTTCCATGTAGATGGAGCCAACTAGTATGACGTAGTCTTAACTCAAAATTTGAAATTAAAGATTTAAATTTCAGTTTGAGTTAGGTTGGAATAGAGCAAAAACTTATCAAGCTTGAATTTTGAGGTAATTTGAGTCATGTTCACTAACAAATATTGTTGTGTGCCATGATAATCATGACGATTGAGAGAAAATGTTTAATGGTTAGCATTGTACAATGATTCAATACACACAAATAAACTAGGATTGCAAGAAATACTAGAGTTTTTACTTGGGAAACCTAGAAAGGAAAAAACCCTTAGGGACTGACCCAGTTGAAATAATTCAACTAGTGTATGTCATCGATCACAAATGATGCTCTTCCCTGTAATTGAGAAAGGAATTGTTAGAATATAATAAATATAAACTATATAGAACATCTTTCATGGTGGAAGTTGAAAAAGCCTTATGACATGAGAGCTATTTTTTAAAGATAATTTGTTATAGTCCGGTGACGGTGGACAGAGGATCATAGTTAGCCAACGGTAGTCAGAGGACCATAATCCGACGACGGTGATTGGATGACTGTAGTTGGGTAATAGTGGTCGGAGGCCGTAGTATGACGATGGTAGTCAGATGATCATAATCGAGCAACATTGATTAGGAGGACCAAAGTCGTGTGACATTGACGAGAGACTGTAGTTGGTTGTACTAGTCAGATGACTGTAATCGGGGGATTATGGATAGAGAACTATAGTCGGATGATGACAGTTTGAAGACCATATTCTGTAATGGGGATTTTTTTATCCACGGTGAATTTGAAATATTTTGTGATAGTGTGCGACATAAAAAAATAATATATTATCACAAGAGATGAAATAATGATTTTGTTATAAACTCAATAACAAAACATGCAATTTTATTTTTATACCCAAAGATTTCCTTTATATAATAAATTTAATTGAATAAAATTTATTTTATTTTGAGATATAAGTTCTCCATAAGATTATGCACTTATGATTAACTATGTCCCAAGAATATTTGTTCATTCAATTTTTTTTATTAAAATAGTGGTTTATATTTTTTTTATCAAAATATTGACTATATTTTATATGATTTTTAAGAATTTGATAGGAAATACTTGAGTTCGCAAGTAATCCTATCGGATCTACTTGAGTTCGCAAGCAACCCTGATACAAATTTGATCAAAATAACGGCAATAACCAAGATCAGGAAGAAATGAACAATAAAACAAAAGGGAACTTTATTAAAAACTCAAAGCAAAGGAACATGAGCAAAGATACAAGTGATCCTCAATTCGAGAGGAGGATAGTTCTCTCCAAATCTCTAGATGCAATGTCTAGAGCCTCAAAACTCCAAGAGAACACCAATCTAAGCATGCCCTAACCCCTTCCTCATCCCTATTTATAGCCTTCATCCTAGCCCTAAATTGCCCCCCCCTCTCTCTCTTACTAAAAATACATTATTTTTATTAAATCAAATAAGCTTGCACCTCCTTCCCAAAATACAATTAAATCAATTAGGCAAATAGGCACATCCTTCCCAAAATACAATTTGTTTAATTAAATCAAATAGGCGTGGGCCTGAATGCTAGGTTTCAACCCAAGGGAGGCGGTTTGCCTCTTGAAAACATGTGCCAGCCTAGGTGGGGCCGGCTGGATCGGTTCGTGAGGATCCAACCCTCCCCAGGTCAGTGTGGCTTGCACCGATCTATCAGAAATTCTTTTAAAAAATTTTGCTTTTAGAATTTTATGTGCTATTAGATCAACTCACAATTAATTTTTGAATGGAAGCCAATGAAGGAAAATGACAGAGCATTTGATTCTAAGATGCTTGGAGGACTTATAAATATTATATGTTTGGCTTTATATTTTAAAATTAAATTTATGTTAGAATTTGAAATCAAGGAGAGACAAACTCAAGTACTTCTTGGGTATAAAATTAGCTCAATCAAAATAAGTCGTATTCTTCTCTTAACAAAAATATGTCATGAATTTTCTAAAAGAGATAACTATAACTAATTCGAAATCTTGTGAAACTTCAACTAAATTGGATCAAAACTTGGATGTAGATGAAGAAGGTGCAGAAATAGACTGAGATGTCAAATATTAATTGAAAAATTAATCTATCTATCTCACCTCTGATCAAACATTGGTTTTTCTATAAGTCTCATCAATCAATTCAGACACATATCCAAAAAATCTCACATTCAAGCTGCTTACAAAGTTCTCAAGTACCTTAATCCAAGTCACTGAAAATGAATTCTCTTCAAAAAACAAGATACTCTACAAATTAAAGGTTATACTGATGCAAATTGTGCAAGATTACGTGGATAGAATATTCACTTTAGGAAAATGTACATTTTTTAGAGGAAATCTAATAACATAAATGAGCGAGAAATAATCGGTTGTATCAAGATCTAGTGTTGAATATGAATTTAGAGCATTTGCATAAGAAATTGGGGAATTTCTATAAATCAAAATCATCTTGGAAGATTAAAAAATTAAGTGGGAATAGTAAATGAAGAAATTCTATTATAACAAATTTGTCATCAACATTACTTATAACCCAATACAACATTGATCGAACCAAGCATGTAGTGAGCGATAAGTATTTCATAAAAGAGAAACTAAAGAGTATGTTGATTTATACTTTAAATGTACCAACAGGAAATCAATTTTCTAATATATTCATCAAGGTCTCTGCAACCCCACATTTAAGAATATTGTAAGGAAACTTGAAATTATAGATTTATACAATTTAGTTTGATAGGAGTGTTGAAGACGGTGGGTCCCACATCATGGGACCCACTCCTTTGCCTACTTCCTTCATTTGCCTAAGAAGAGTCATTGGTCGTACTATGCAATCAATCCTAGTATGATCTACTGAGTTCACTAATTGAGGAGCTTAGCCATTGGATCTTCTCCCTAATAATCTTTGGATTGCAATTCGTGTGCTCCTCTCCCCTCACTTGACCACTGCTCCCCCATACCCCCTCAAGGATTATTTATTTATTTTGTATAAACTATATTTACTTTTTTTTTCTTTTGTAAAATCCTTGGAAGACTCTATTAATACCTCCAACATGTGTACATAAAGTAAGCAATAAAATTTAAATTTGCTTTTCTATTTTTCTACATGACACCTTTTAGTGTAATAGTTGTCTGTTGAAAATTAGAATTTGAAAATTAAGCATTTTCATATCAGGGCATTTCTAACAAGGTTGATTGTTAGGCCGGCCCAAGAGGGGTCGGCTGAATCCATTAAATCAGTCCCTAGTGGACCAGTTTATTGCTACAGGCGTCGGCCCAGGGAAGGGAGAGAGTGGACCAGTTTATTGCTACAGGCGTCGGCCCAGGGAAGGGAGAGAGAGAGAGAGAGAGAGAGAGAGAGAGAGAGAGAGAGAGAGAGAGAGAGAGAGAGAGATGGCTGGTCCTATGGGGCTCACATCTTAATCAAATTTGCTTTGGAGGGAAATATTTGAATTATGGGATGTTTAGGGAATTTGTAATTATCCTTTTGTCTTTAATTAGTTTCTCTTGGGAGGGTTAGAGTTTTATCTTGAATTTGGGATCTCCTTGGTGTGCTTGGCCTCTAGTCTCTTGGTTAGAGATTTGGAGAGTTGCTTCTTCCTCTTGAATTGAAGAAACTTATATCGTGTGCTGATTTTTCTCTTTCGTTAGTGAAATCCTCTATTTTTCTCTCAATTTCTCTACAAATTTTCTCAATTTTTCTGAGTATTATATCTGTTTTGCTTCTAAAAACAGCAGTTTACTGCTTGGAGGTGATTGTGTTCTATCATTGATCTTCTTAAAGTTTCACCAATGGAAACTCAACTCTTGCTTCCTATCTGATGTGAGGCTATTCTTCATTATCATGTTAATCTCAACAAAAATGTGACCAAGTGCCCATTAGAATTCTTATTAACATTATGAAATTCTAATTGCATGCTTTGTTCCTTTTTTTTTTTCAACACAATAAAAAGATTGCTTCTCAATTTTGTTAAAATTAATTAGTTATTTAAGTTAGCTGATTATAAAAGTAATACGTGCATTCTCCTATCAAAGGGATTTGGGAAAGGATTTTTCATATTATTTTATTTAAGAATTATTGTGGAAACGTAATCAGGTTTGGTTGGAGAAGAGATATGTTGGGTCTCGCCACACATCTGAATGGTTTAATACTGCCGGAAGAAATGTCAAAACCGGGCTCATAGCAAGTGTTATTGTATCACAGGTAATGACTAGCACTTTGAAGCTGTTCTGCTTCTAATACTTCCATCATGTGAACATATTAAAATAAAAACATGACATTTTTTCCCCCTTTAGTGGACTTGGGCTGCAACAATCTTGCAAAGCTCTAACGTTGCATGGCAATATGGAATCAGCGGCCCATTCTGGTATGCTAGTGGCGCTACCATTCAGGTCACTCATCTCATTTCTTTCAGGGAAAGATATATAAAAAATAGAAAGCAAATATTTTAAAGTTATCCTGTCCATTGTGTTTAGGTGCTTCTGTTTGGTATTATGGCCATTGAGATCAAAAGGAAGGCTCCTAATGCACACACAGTCTGTGAAATTGTCAAAGCTAGGTAATCTTAAGTCCTACACATTCTATTCTGTCATGATAACTTCAGATTTATCTCTATCCTCTCAATGGTACCAATTAATTATATATATATTGCCTACATGTACAGGTGGGGAACTGCTGCACATATTGTATTCCTTGTATTTTGCTTCATGACAAATATAATTGTGACTGCAATGCTACTTCTTGGCGGCTCCGCAGTAGTTAATGCACTTACTGGTGTAAACATATATGCCGCAAGCTTTTTGATCCCTCTTGGTGTTATAATTTATACATTAGCTGGAGGATTAAAGGCCACTTTCTTGGCAAGCTACATTCATTCTGTTATAGGTACTCTATCCCATTTGTGTACGGTTTTTTTCCAGTAAATTTAAGAAGACTTTTGTAATTTATATCAGTATTGACAGAAAAGAAGTACTCTGAAATTATTCTAATGAACAACATCCTATATTTTTAAAAAATTTCAATAATTTGCTCAAAAACCAAAATAATTTTTTGTAAATTAGACTAATGGAAAGATGTGTATTCTTATTGGTTGTTATTCGCTACGAAAGATGTTTAAATTTGCATTTTAGGTTGTTGCAACAATGACGTGATTATCAGAAAAAATTGCTCATTCTGTTTTGTGCATTGATTTTTTGTACAGAATTTCGCTAAAATTTCCTCAAATTTAGAGGCATTTATAAATGTTTCAGCATTAGACTACTTGATAGAGTTTTGTCTTCATTACTGCACACTTTGTACCATATGAGCAGTCCAAGCTCCACCATGAGCTCCATTCTAGGTTTTTTCCTTGTTAATTACCAAGGGAATTTTTCGCAAGCAAATTCAAGCTCAAAGATTAGTATTCCTATGTATAGTGGTAGAACTAGAGAGAGGTTGGGTGGCTCTCGCCCCTAAATTTAAGAAAAGTTGTGTGTAGTTATGTATAATCTTAAAATTTTATGCTTAAATTTTACTACAACTATGTATATAGTAGAAGTAAAATTCTGGCTCTGCCACTACCTTGAAGTATACTATGATGCATAAACTGCCATTTAAAATAATCAGGACTTGGTACTGCTCGGTACTGCTCAGTTATCAATACTGCTCGGTACTCAGTACTGCCCGGTACTCGGTACTGCTCGATACTTGGTACTGCTCGGTACTGTGTACTGCTCAATACTGCTCGGTACTGGAACTCGGTATCGCTCGGTATTGCTCGGTATAGAGGGGTACTGAATGGTACCAAGCAGTACCGATACGATAGAGAAAACTTTAAAGCAACTCTTATAATAAAATTTTGTTCCAGGGGCAGCGCCCTCGGAAATCCCCACAGGGCACTGCCCCCTGACCCCGCGATCTAACCGGGCAGGTCGAATCCCGCCAGGGGGCAGCGCCCCCTTGGACCCCTGACATAGGCGCAACATATCTACACTTTTAATTAAAAATTTTCATGTTTCAAATTCATGTGGATTAATTTGTGTCAATCCTTCGTAGGACAATGAGCTCTAGTGATGTAGAAATTGGGTCTACTGATGGTCCATCAGAGACCAATATTGAAGATAACAAACCTCTGTGGGGTTATGTGACAAAAAATATGTAAAACATCAGAAGGGGGTGGCAATATTGCATTCAAATACAATTTTTGTAATGTTACATACAAATGATCATATTATAGAGTGAAAGCTCATTTGTTGAAGATTAGTTGTCATCGAATTAAAGTATGCCAAAATATAAGCTCATCACAAATGGCTTAGTTGCAAAGAAAAATCAGTAAAGCTGAGCAAAAGAGTAAAAAAGAGCTTCCAAAACATATTCCACTTTCAAGCACTCATGCTTCATATCCTTCATCATCTTCTTCAATTAGAAGTGATGACAAAACTATTAATAAGGGGCCTTTTCGGATGGAGGGGTTTGAACCAAAAAGAAGAACATGTTGTAGATAATGCTTTGGAGAAAGCATTTAATTTACAAATGAGAGAATAAATAGATGTGGAAATAGCTAGAATGTTTTACTCAGTTGGACTTCCTTTTAAACTAGCAAGGAATCCACATTACAAGAATGCCTTTACCTATGCATGCAATAATAATCTTGCAGGATACTGCCACCTGGATATAATGTCATTAGAACGAAGTTGTTGCAAAGTGAGAGGGATAATATTGAGAAGTTGCTTGAGCCTACTATAGGAGTTTGGAAGGAAAAAGGAGTTACTTTGGTTTGTGATGGGTGGACAGATCCACGAAGAATATCACTTATCAACTTCATGGCTGTAACAGAGAGCCATCCTATGTTTATCAAAGCTGTAAATTGTGAAGGACAATACAATGATAAGTTCTTCATTTCTAATTTAATCAAAGAAGTTATCATGATGGTGGGACCTTCAAACATAATCCAAGTCATTACTGATAATGCACCTATTTGTAGAGCTGCAGGTCTACTTGTAGAGCAAGCATATCCTCATTTTTTCTGGACACCATGTGTTGTGCATACACTTAATCTTGCCTTCAAGAACATTTGTGCAGCTAAGAATACCGAGGCAAACGAAATCACCTATAATAAATGTCATTGGATAACAGTGATTGCTGGAGATGCAGTTGTAATTAGGAATTTTATTATTAATCACTCCATGAGACTCTCTATGTTCAATGATTTCTCTAATTTGAAGATGCTTGCAGTTGCTAAAACTCGGTTTGCCTTGGTTATAGTGATGTTGAGAAGTTTCAAAAAATAAAAAATGCTCTTCAAGCTATGGTGATCAGCGACAAATGATCCTATTATAGGTAAGATGATGTTGGAAAAGCTAGATATATAAAGAAGAATCTTTTAGATGATTTATGGTGGGATGAGATTGAATACATTATAAATTTCACAGATCTAATTTATGAGATGTTGAGAGTGGCTGATACGGATAAGTCTTGTTTACATCTAATTTATGAGATGTGGGATTCAATGCTTGCCAAAGTAAAAGAAATTATATATAGACATGAGAGGAAGGCACTTCTTGAAGACTCAAGCTTCTGGGATATTATTTATGCTATTCTAGAAGATATGTTGAGCAAAAGTAATACACCTTTACATTGTTTGGCTCACTCACTAAATCCCAGGTAAATTTTAATATTTTTCATGATTAATTAGCAATTTGTTGTTTAATAATTTCAACAATTTTTTAATTATTTCATTTTAATATTTTTTGAAGATATTCAACTAAAGAACTGCTCCAAGAGGATCCTCAAAGAGTTTCTCCACATAAAGATTTAGAAATTTCAAATATGAGAAAGACATGTTTGAAGCGTTATTTTCCAAATGAGGAGGAGAGAAGAAGTGTCAATATTGAGCTTGCTAAATTTTTTGGTTATTTAAAGGACTTTGGTGACCAAGAGTTATTGCGTGATAGGAGAATTGATCCGAAAATGTGGTGGATTATACATGGAGCTTCAGCACCTCTACTTCAAACAATCGTCATAAAATTGTTTGGCCAAGTTTCATCCTCATCTTGTTGTGAAAGAAATTGGAGCACATACTCGTTCATTCAATCAATGAAGAGAAATAAAATTACTCCACAACGGGCTGAAGATTTAGTTTATGTGCATACAAACTTTCAGCTTCTCTCAAGGAAAACTTCAACTTTTATGGAAGGAGACAATAGGATGTGGGATGTTGCTGGAGATGGATTTGAATCTCTTGAGGATATGGGAATATTAGAAATTGCTAATCTTTCACTTGATGAGCCTGAATTAGAAGCTATGATATTTACTGAAGATGATATAGAAACTCAAAGACAAACCACTAAAAAAGCTAATCCTATCATTCCTTCTATTGAATAGTTGAAATTTCATGTGCTGGACAATTTATCTTCTTGTTTTTATTGTTATACTAGCTATTTAAATATTTAATGTTTACTTTTATTTCAATTTTTTTGTCATTTCAAATATTACACTTTGATTAATTTCTTAATTTTTATGTATTATTTATATATTATAATGTTGTATCCGCGTTGTATTCGTATATTGTATTTTTAAGAATTTGTGTGTCCCGTATCCATATCGTGTCGTATCTGTATCGCCGTGTCCGTATCGGTGCAACATAGGTAAAAATCCATATCTGATTTTTCCAGAACTTCGGTTTTATTGAAACTTTGTCTTTTGCAGTGCATATTGTGTTGGTCGTCTTTGTTTACTTGGTTTACACTGCAAGCAGTGAACTAGGAAGCCCAAAAGTTGTCTATCATCGCTTATTAGATGTTGTTAGCAAATCTAGAGAATGTCGAGAACCCATTTCACACACTGGTCAAGCTTGCGGGCCTATAAGTGGGAACTATAAAGGATCCTACTTAACCATGTTAAGTTCTGGTGGCCTTGTTTTTGGCATTATCAACATTGTTGGAAACTTTGGCACTGTGTTCGTGGATAATGTAAGTAATTCTGGTTGTGATTGAACATATACTTTTTTTTTTCTCCTTTTCAGATTAATATAAATGATTAAATATTCAGGGCTATTGGGTTAGTGCCATAGCTGCCCGTCCATCCTCCACCCACAAAGGCTACTTATTGGGTGGACTAGTCTGGTTTGCAGTACCATTCTCTCTTGCAACCTCTCTGGGCCTAGGAGCGCTTGCTCTTGATCTTCCATTAACTGCAAGTGAAGCTGCACACGGCCTGGTTCCTCCTGCTACTGCAACTGCCCTGATGGGAAAAGGTGGATCTGTGCTTCTATTGACCATGCTATTTATGTAAGTTTTTCACTTTAGCCTTATTTGTTTACTTGAATATAGATATCATGTTTTGAAAAGAAATGAGTTTATTATATTCCTTCATTTGGTTGGATGCAGTTGAAAGTTAATACCACTTTGAAGCTCGACAAAACATGTTACTTGTGCATTTTGTAGGGATGCTTTTTCTACAGTTGCGGTGGTGGGGGGGGGGGGAGCAACTTATACTCACATTTTTCAGTCATGCTTGTTTGCATATAACTATCACTGTAAAGATTAGGTGATTTAGATTCAGCACTAGGCAGTTTGTCATTGACCTCTGCATGTATAGAGAATTGCTTAATTCCTTACGTGAAGTTGAACATAAATTATTATCTGTTTCAGGGCAGTCACTTCTGCTGGTTCCTCTGAACTGATAGCAGTCTCTTCCTTGTGCACATATGATATCTACCGCACCTACATCAATCCCGAGGCTACAGGAAAGCAGATCCTTAAAGTATCCAGGGGAGTTGTTCTTGGTTTTGGATGCTTCATGGGATTTCTGGCTGTGATCTTAAACAAAGCTGGAGTCTCCCTCGGCTGGATGTACCTCGCCATGGGAATACTGATTGGTTCTGCAGTCATTCCCATAGCTTTCATGCTTCTATGGAGGAAGGCCAATGCATTTGGTGCTATTTCTGGAACAATAAGTGGCTGCATCCTTGGCATAATAACTTGGTTAGAAGTAACAAAAATTGTATACGGACGCATTGATCTGGATACCACTGGTCGGAATGCTCCTATGCTTGCTGGGAATCTTGTGTCTATACTGACCGGGGGATTGATTCATGCAGTTTCCAGTCTTCTGTGGCCTCAAAGATATGACTGGGAAACCACCAGGCAGATAACTACAGTAGAGAAGATGAAAGGTGATTTGCCTGATGAAGAGTTCAAGGAGGAGAAGCTGATGAGAGCCAAGGCTTGGATTATGAAATGGGGTGTGGCTTTTACTGCTATCATTGTCATCCTCTGGCCTCTTCTTACTCTTCCTGCAGGTATTTCTTCATTAACTTGAGAGTAGTTTATAACAATGTTATGAAATCAGCTCAAATCCGTTACTATACATATCTTAAATAGCTGCTCTTATTTTGCTTACTAGTGTTAACACTTGCTTTATTAAAATATAGTAATCTGTTTTGATTTACATTGTGGCATGCGGCCAGTTAAATAGTCATGATATATACCTGTGAGGCTACTTTTTGGAATATCAGTAATATTCTAACAAACTTTGTTTCTCCTTCTTCCATTGATCTCGAGATTTCTCTTTCTACTCTTCGCCCCTACACTACTTTTCTTCTACTTCGCTCAATAACGATAGGTTGCAACATATGGTATTAGAGGCATGGCGTACACCAGAAAATCCCATCGGTGATGACATTCAAGGATTAGATTTCCCGTGTGAAATGATTATTGCTGTCTCAGAAGTTAGAAGCATTAGGAACAGATTTCTTTCAATTTGTGGTCGAAGTGCGCTGAGGCAATTGCGTGTTAAAATGTGGGTTTAATCAACGTTCGGCACCACACCAGTGGGTTTAACTATGATACTGAAACTAGGTGATGAAGATGAGACCAACCGGTATTTGTGGCGACACAAGCAACCTGAACACTACGCTGCGCCAGATCTTCCATATTCGGATGGAGATCTTTACCATCGTTGATCCATCCTTCCCTCCGATTTTGATTCCAACTGTGGTACACATCTGCGAGGAGATAACCTAAACCACAGTCATGGGGATTTCAAAGTTAAGCTAAACATTCCCATTTTGACTGGCACTAACACATTGAAGATTATCTGAATTGAGAATAAGCAGTCAAAGCATTCTTCAAATACATCGACATACCTTTGAAGGAACAAGTGAAATTTGTCGCTTGGAAATTGAAAGGAAGAGCACGGGCTTGGGGAGGTCCAACTCACACAATCTTGTGAAAGAGGTCATTAGAATGCGAATAGTTCGGCTCAGAAGAAACAGCTATTATTCTGGCATTTTCTCCCCTTCCATAAAGAACAAATGCTCTGCCTCCAATATTAGAGATGCTCCTAAAGAAGTATTTTAGTGATTTCACTGGAGAATTTTAATACCTTAATACAAGAAACAATCTGTATGAGACTGATCAACAGTTAGTAGCAAGATAAATTGGCAGTTTGAAGGAATCAATTTTAAAAAAATTAGAAATGAATTCGATATGATCTCTCTCAAGTTGTAAATTTTGCTTACAAGGCTGAAATACAACAGTCCTTTATGCCAAAATCCTCCTACTATCGCAAAAATATTTCAGAGCAACTTGTGTCTAACATTAAGAGCACTCTTCCTAAACCGAGCTCACTTCATGGCCAAAGCCCCTGCTACTGAGACCAAGCACCCTCAAAACCAGGTACTATCCCTGAAAACATTTATCACAAGCCCAAACTATCAAAATGTTTTTACTATTTTCAACCCAAAGACCGATTGAATGAGTGTCCAAATTGGCGAAAATTGCAGTATGGCAAACTAGAGACGGTATGCTTGTAATTGGCAGGGATGTTGAAGATGCTGTCAGAGATGAGGGGGAGGCCTTTTCTTGCATCCTAGAAAAAAATTCTATTAGAGTTGAGGTAGAGCGTGAACACCGAATGGCACACCATTTTTCAATTTCATTGTTAATTGCAATATTTGTGAACTATTAATCTGTTGTTGCACTGCGAATATAATTTCTCAAAAAGTGGTCAAGGCATTCCAACTCTAGACCATTAAACATTTGCAATCCTTTAAAATCAGTTGGGTGCGAAGAGGGATCAAAGTTCTGATGATGGAAATGTGTGAAGTATCCCTTTCAATCATTAAACATTTCAGTTGTGAAATTGTATGTGATGTCTTGGACATGGGCACTTGCCACGTTATTCTTGGTCGGTTGTAGCAATTTGATTTTGGAGCTTGGTATGATGGATAAACAAACACTTTTATTGTAGAATGGAATGGGAGGAAGATATGACTTCTACCGACACCATCAACGACTAAGCCGATTGTGATTAGGACATCAGCAGGAGATTCTGGCGTGTCTATCACAGGAGGAATCGAAGATCAACGGCTACGATTAGGCGTCTTTATTTATGATGGATTTTATATATTTCTTGTGCTTATGTTTTAGTCTTTACTATTGTACCCCTATGCGGGATTAGTTTGTGTTGTAGCCCAGAGGACATTTTAGTCTTTGAGTCTCTTTTATTTTTTAGGCCTATATATGGAAGCCTTCGCTATTGTAGGAAGTTGGTTGATGATTAATAAGAAATTTCTGTATTATTATTCTCATGAGTGTTGAAAGCTCTAGAAAGCAGAGAAGTCCGTAGGTGAGGGCAAAGTAATTCCCGTCAACCCCAGGAAGTGTCTGGGCTCTTGGTTTCCCCTAAAATTTGAGTTTCAAATTTCAAATTGTCCCTCATATTTTGAATTAATTAAGAAAGCTCACTATATTAATTTAAATTGAATTTTAAAATTTGAAAGGCCCTTAAATCCTTTTCTAATTTAAAGTTCCAATTATAGAAGTCAATCAATTTACCCAAATCAAGCCCCATCATTGCCCCCCCCCCCCCCCATTTAAAGTTCCAATTATAGAAGTCAATCAATTTACCCAAATCAAGCCCCATCATTGCCCCCCCCCCCCCCCCCCGCTCTCTCTCCCACTTGTAGTCCCTTTCTAATTGAAGCCCAATCAATTCCCCCTTCTAAGAACAGGCCGCCCCTCCCTCTCTTTTGGGAATTCAAAATTTGAATTCCCTTCTCTCTCTCTCTCTCCTCTCATTAACTCCAATTAATTACCCAGCTTTGAAATAATTGTTGGATTAAATTCTCAAATTTTCATAGCCTCTCTTGAACTCCTCCTCTCCTCTTTCTCTATACAAGCCGCCGGCCACCCTAGGCCCCTCCCCCCTTCTGAAATTGGAGGAACTTTCACTCTCCATGGATGGCCAACCCCGAGCATTATCATAGATTCGTATTTGACCCTCAAGGACGAGTGGATTTTCATCCGTCTCCCTTCCTCGATATCGATTTTGAGATCGATCACTCCGTCAAAGACTACATCGATCAGATTTCTTTTCCTTAACAATCGCCATCGACGAGCATTAACTTCTCGTTCAATGGCAAATCATCCATCATCCACCAACTACCTCCTCTCCGGATAACTCTTCATTGAGCAATATGTAAGTGCCTACTGTCTTGTTGTGACATCATTAATATTATATAAATTATTCTTCCGCTGAAAATACTTAAGAGTATGAGTGAGGGGAACTTAAGACGACTATTCTTTTTATTAACCGGTGGATTCTTATGATTGACAAATTAAGCATTTAATATTTTTCATTCTTATTTTAATTCTCCCTACACTATATTGTAACTGCATGCTATTATAAGATCTTTAACTGAGAAATCCTAGAATCTAATCTTGTGAAACATTAAATTTTAATTAGCAAGCTGATAGGAAACACTTGGGTTTCCAAGTGTTTCTCACCAAGATCAAGTAGATCCAAGGAAAAACTGCTGTCCATAGCAGAAAAACAGCCAAAACACAAGAAAATTCTGAGAGGAAAACGTAGGAAAACGATGCAAACACTTTTATTTTGATAACGGATGAAAAGCACTTGCAAGATACAACTTTCCTTCAATTCGAGAGGAAGGAAAAACTCTCCAAAAGATCTCCGGCGAAGCCAAGAGCCCAAGACACCAAAACCTAGATCTCAAAACAATTCAAAATCAAGATCATCTCTCTTCCCCCCCTAATCGCCTAATTAAACAAAATTGATCATAAAGGACCATAATGGACTTCCTAAAACAGCTCCTCATTCAAAATTCTCCCTCCCAAAATCAATTTCAGCAACCGTGGGGTCCACAGGGGGTTCCGCCCCTTTTTGTTGTTTCCGCCTGGAATAGCATCGGACCGGTCCAGAAGGGACCGGTCCGCTCGTAACAAGATACTAAAACAAATTTCTAATTTAAATATATAACAAATAGTTTTTACATATTTCATTTGATCAACTTCTTTTGTACACGAACTCTCCTCTTTCAGCAATTTATTCATAGGAGATTTACCTAACATTTCAATTTAAAATTTTGAGTTTTTTCATAATAAACTTAGTGGATAATTACAATTTATATTATAGAAATTAAACATGCATATAAGGAATCATCTTCATTTATTTAAACATCAAATTCTGCACTTCCCTCATATTCTCCCCTCCGGCCTTCAAAATCCACACCTTGACGCTGAAAATCAGCACCTCGACGCTGAAAATCAGCACCTCGACGCTGAAAATCAGCACCTCGACGCTGAAAATCAGCACCTCGACGCTGAAAATCTGCACCTCGACGGTCATTCCCCAGGCTCATCTCCTCTCTAGAAAGTGGCTCTAGAGGTGGCATGTCGTCGTCTCCCTCAAGGATCTCCACAGCCGGATTCCTCCTCCCCCGAGGCGGGTTCGGATTTCCTCCTACGCCATGGCCGTCAGTGGTCTCTCTCACTTCCGATGTGTCCGGATGGGTCTTCATCTCCAATAATTTCTTCATCATTTCTTCCATGGCCGTGAATTTTCCCTCCAACCTTTCGTTGTTGGTGGTGATTTGATTTTGAAAATCAAAAAATCTTTCCTCCAAATCGGTTTTTAATTGACCGACTTCGCCTTCCAAGACATCCACCTTCTTTCCGGCCATTGTCCTTCTAACGGTTCCACAAAAACTTCTTCCGGAGACAAGAAACTTGCTGAAATTTCAGAATTTCAGCCGCCGGTGGTCCCGAAACGATGCTCTGATACCAATTTGATAGGAAACACTTGGGTTTCCAAGTGTTTCTCACCAAGATCAAGTAGATCCAAGGAAAAACTGCTGTCCACAGCAGAAAAACAGCCAAAATACAAGAAAATTCTGAGAGGAAAACGTAGGAAAACGATGCAAACACTTTTATTTTGATAACGGATGAAAAGCACTTGCAAGATATAACTTTCCTTCAATTCGAGAGGAAGGAAAAACTCTCCAAAATATCTCCGGCGAAGCCAAGAGCCCAAGACACCAAAACCTAGATCTCAAAACAATTCAAAATCAAGATCATCTCTCTTTCCCCCCTAATCGCCTAATTAAACAAAATTGATCATAAAGGACCATAATGGACTTCCTAAAACAGCCCCTCATTCAAAATTCTCCCTCCCAAAATCAATTTCAGCAACCTTGGGGTCCACAGGGGGTTCTGCCCCTTTTTGCTGTTTCCGCCTGGAATAGCATCGGACCGGTCCAGAAGGGACCGGTCCGCTCGTAACACAAGCTTAATAACTTTTTATAATTTTCATGAAATTCATGCAACTATTTTATGTTTCACATCATCTTGGTATCATAGCCCAATTGTCTCATCGTTGCATTCTAGGATTTGACATACGCATTTTGTAGACATCTTAGTTGCATCCACCCTTTTGATACAGCGTCATTACATTACCGTTGTATCTGCATTAATTACCAAACTTTAGAGTCAATGGACCATGAACAAATTCAACGTACCTTAGACTTTATCGTAGGTCAATTAGGAACTGTGACCCAACAACTAAGAGATACCAAAGGTGAGTTAGTTGATTTTCGCCGCCAAGCTGGAGAACATTTAGACAACATTGAGAGACTAGGAAACCACACGATGTATACCCCCTCTAGACCTCCTTCCCCCTATGTTGATGAGACACGAGCTGATGACAGATCTCCACGAGACCCATACCGTCATAAAAACCTTAGGCCCAATCGCAAACCAATGGGTCATGATCCGAGTTGGCGAGATAATGACGCTCAACTACTCAAAAACATCAGAATTGAAGCACGTTCCTTTGATGGCACTCTCGAACCACAAGTCTTTCTGGACTGGCTTAAAGGAATGGATAGATACTTCAAATGGTACAATTTTTCAGAAGCTAGGAAGGTTAGGTTCGCTGAGATGAAACTTACAGGGAGAGCTATTCAATACTAGATGAACTTAGAAAATATGCGTGAAGCTCGAGGTGAATATCCCATCACTGACTGGAGAGCTATGAAGCAAAAACTCAAACAGAAATACCTCCCTTCATCCTATTACCCCAAGCTCTTATATAGGTGGAACAAACTGACTCTGGGTAACAAACCCGTGAAAGACTACATTTCTGCTTTCGATGATTACATGATTTGTTGTAGTGGCGAAGAGACCACCAACCTAGCCCAGATCCTATCCATGTTAGAGCTGGCTTTAGGGAGGACCTTCGTAATGAACTTCTCACAAGAGGAGTCAATACTCTTGAAACATCTTGCAGTCTTGTACTTGATCTTGAAGAGTCTAGGACTCAGTCCCATTCCTGTAACCTAGACACCCGACCACCTCCTTTCAAAACTTCTCCCAATCAACCTCAAAACAAACCTCCCGACCCTATGACTGGTCGGCCCACTGTTGGCCAATTCCAACCCCGCCCTGACTACAAGGGTAATACTCCTAAGCGTGAGGCACCCAAAACTAACCCAAGAACCAAGTCTTTTAAGTGTCATGAATATTGACACATTGCCTCGCAGAATTCCAGTCCTTATAAGTTGTCGAGGACGAGGATAAGTCTGATACTAAATTAATTCATCATATTGATGACGAGTATGATTTCTTTTGTGAAGAAGATACCGTCATGATTCATTACCTGCAAAAAAATGGATAATGTTGAACTTCAAGTTGTTAGGTGTGCCTTATCTCAACCTAAGCCAAGTGATGACTGGCATAGAACTTCCAACTTTCGCACCTTTACCAAGATTGGTGACAAGAACTGCAAGGTTATTATCGACAGTGAAAGTTATATTAACGTTGTCTCTTCCATCATGATTACCAAACTTAATCTGAAAACGGCTCCCCACCTGAATCCCTATAAGGTTCCTTGGATCAATTCGATAGCTTTAGAAGTAAAAGACAGGAGCCTTATCCCCATTGAGTTTGTGGGATACAAGGAAAAGATTTGGTGTGACGTTGTGACAATGGATGTAGGTCAAATTATCCTTGGTCGCCCATGATTCATTAACAACGATGTTCATGCTTATGGGAGATTAAATACATGCATGTTTGAACATGACGGTAAAAAGATTAAACTTTTGCCTTCCCAGCCCAAGTCTTCTAAAGAGGAAGTTAAGCCTACTCCTATCAAACCTAGCCAAGGCATAAACCTCATTATTGCAAAAGATTTAGATGCTGAACTTAATCATGGGTCACCCATGTACGCCTTGTTAGCCCGGGAAGCGATAATTGAAACGGAAAAACCAATCTCGGAAGAGGTCAAACCTCTACTTGAAACTTTTGCTGATGTGTTCCATGAAGATCTATCCAATCAACTACCCCTTTGAGGGACATCCAACATGCCATTGACTTAGTACCTAGAACTTCCTTACCTAACCTGCCTCACTATCGTATGAATCCGGAAGAGCATGCTAAGTTAAAAGAGCAAGTTGATAATTTACTCCAGCAAGGATTCATTAAAAAGTGTTTGAGCCCATGTGCCGTTCTTGCACTTTTGACTCCCAAGAAAGATGGCTCGTAGAAAATGTGTGTTGATAGTCATGCAATCAACAAAATCACGATAAAATACAATTTTCCCATTCACCATTTGGATGATATTCTAGACATGATGATTACTTGCCACCTACATCAAAGATTACTAAATCAATAATTTATAATTTATTGCTGAATGCAGGACAATTCAATTTGGGTTATTTCACATTCTGGGCAATTATAGCCATTGCGTGGGGCACAATTGGTTCAGCTGTGATCATCATCTTACCTCTAAGTGAAAGCTGGAAGACGATAAGCAGCGTGTGCCTGGGCATGTTCACGAATGATAAGCTAATGGAGAAGATAGATGAAATGAACCTTAGACTGCATGCAATCATGTTGGCAATGCCTGAGGCCCAACAAACCTATTTGCTGGAAAAAGAGAAGGCTAAGAAGCTTGAGGGCTTAGAAGGAAGAAGAACAAGCTCAAATGTTCCAATTCCAAGTGTGATGGACGAGCTGTAAGTAGCATAGCGTTGCCTTTATTCTTAAGCGTGTGCTCTGATGTTGGTAATTGAAATTGTTGAAAAGTTTTCATGCCAACGGTGTAAAAATTCTATATTGCATCAAATGTGGTTCAGCTTGTACTATTTATAAGCTTCAGATAAATAAAATTGTTGCATAAACTTGTAATCTACCTTGTACTATTTATAAGTTTCAGATTTTTATTAAAAAAAAATTATATACGGCATCAAGACTTCATATTTCTGATGCTGCATGTTACATAAGTTTCTAAGGAAACTATCTCACGAGTAGTTTATGATTAAAATCTGTTCCTCTTACAATTTATTATGCTTATTTTCTATTGAAATAGTTGGTGATTGATATTTTATTTATTCATAAAAAATAAATTTCGAACTGATTAAAAAGGAGCATATTTCCCAAGCCTTTTAATATTTCTTGCACTAAAAAAGTTTGGTACAGTAATACTATATGAGCTGATGTAACTCTAAAAGCGTGTTTGAGACATTTAGTAAATTTATTTTACAGCCTGTTGTCATTCTTACATTTAATTATAATTTTCTTCTGGTCTTTCAAAAATTTTTATCCTTCGTTGTCAGCTGAAGCCTCCAGAACAGTAAGTGGTTAGGTTAGACAAGCCTCTCCTTTATCTTATACCAATCTGATTATAATATTAAAGAGGTGGAGCAGATGAAATAGTACTAAGAAGAAGCATTAAAGGCATCTTCTCATTATGAGCTGCAGCTCAATGCAGCGCGATATGTGAGGACATTTATGACTATTTAATGTTCTAGTGAATTTAGATAGAGAGGGATAGATGGAGAATACACCCACTTCTATGACTCATTTATCTACTAAATAAAACTCAGCAAAAAAGACAGATCTTCCCATTGGATGCCCTCCCCATTCCATATATATCTGCTATAATGTTGTGGACTGTGGAGTATGTGTTTTTGGTTCGTTTAGATCCTAAGGGGCTGTTTGGTAGCACTCAGGATCTGATTTAAGTAGGATTTCATAAATTCGCTAAATTCAGATTTTGGAAATCCTAAGGGGCCTAAATGCTGAAAATTGTTTGGTAACATCCATGATAAATCCTATTAAATTTCGTGTGACTGTTTGGGTATAAAACGGATTTAACGAGCGGACTTTTCCTCTCAAGCCAACGGATTTCGTAAATCCGACAAAAAACAGGATTTTGGAAATACGAGGTTTAGCACGAAAAGGAGAAATTTTCCGTCTACGATGACTTTCTTTTGTCGTGAGATTTGATTTTACATTTTAGACCGTTTGGCCAAGTTTCACTAAAATCCGATCTAAATCCTGCTATCAAATAGCCCCTTAAGACAGGGATATTATTTCAGGCAATGTATACATCCTCTTTTTGAAATTGGCATATAATTAGTAGCTATAATTACATTAACTATTCAAACATAGCACGAAAAAATAATGTGATGTGCCTGTCAATGTTGAGAAGAATTGGGTATTATCAGGCCCGCTGTCAGCACTGTTCATGAAGCGAATAGGGTTGCAGAGGTAATTTTATTCGGACTGCAATTATAATAAGTGCTGCACATGGAGGGAGGGAGAGTTATTTTCTCTCGTTTTCTCTGGCCATCTTTCGGTTGGCAACTGCTTAGCTGGTGGAGTTATGGCGGTCGAAGAAGAATATCTGAATCCCAAACCCTCCTCCCACTCCATGGAAGAGGCCTCGTCGGCTCTGCTTTCCTCCTATCTCGGCCTCAGCTTCTCTGTTTTCCTCGCGTTACTTCCCCGCTCCTCGCTATCTTATGTCTTCTCCCTGCAGTCTCGTAACCGCATACTCTCCCTCAAGCTCTTCCATGCCGAGGAGCAGCTCCGCCAGATGCGCTCCCGTCGGAAGGAGGACTCAAAGGCTAACGCTCGCGTTGCTGAGATCTTCGCCAGCCACCGTCATGCATGGCAGCAGGAAGAGAAGCGCCTCCACCACCGGATCGAAGCGGCTGCTGAAGAGATCGCCAGACTCCACTCGCAGATCGGCGACATGGAACGTTCACAGGCTGAGCTTCGATGCTCCGTCGAGACGCTACAGCGTGAGCTGGCCGAGCGCGACGAGATGCTTGATTTTATGTCGAGGAGGGCGGAGCAGGAAGAAGGCCGGGAGGAGATGGGAATAATGAAGAAGGATGCCGAGGAATTGTTGGGTGACGATGAGGATAATGTGGGCGGTTCTAGTGATGACTACTCGTGGATGGGGAGGATTAGGGCTCCGGAGGGGATGGATCCGGTGTCTGACGCTTGTTTCGTTGACCGGGGCGAGGATTTTGAGAAGATGGCGATGATGTATTTCCGGGAGAACGGGTTTGGACCAGATTTTTTGCCGCCCTCAGAAATTTCGAAGCGGTGGATGGAGAGCCCAAAAGGAGGATGGCAGGTTAGGATTTTAGGAGCTTTTCCCTACGGATGTTTCTGACTGAAATCAAACGCTTCTTGTGTATATCTCGTGCCATAGTGTCGATATTTAAAACAATTTATTGTCTTTCTTTTAAATCTTACTGGCCAATTTAATGCAGAACAGCCGTGATTACTGAAAATTTATTTTAAATTAAAACTCACCTAACAAAAAAAAAAAGTTTCATTTATGAACTCCATCTTTTTTTTTCCAGACATTTTGCCGCCGTCCTATTTTATGCAGAACTGGCGTGATTACTGAAAATTTAAGTCAACTTTAGATTGCATCTATGAACTTCGTCATGTCTTACTCCTCATGAAGAGAAAGACAACAAAAAAAATATCAATGCTGGTGGATTTTTCAAGTTTCTTTCCTGCTACAACGATGTTGTTCTGAAATAATCCGTATATCTTTTATAGATTTTCGTACACGTGCCACTCATGATCTATCTTGGTTAGAAAATTTTGTCATTCTTCTTACGTTTTGATGAAGAAGCGGGACTGTTTTCTTTCGGAAAGAGAACAATATTTATGTGGATGGGTTTCATATTTTTAGGCTATTCCAAATGGCAATGCTTCAGCAGCTAACTCAATTGTAATGTACAATAAACAAAGATATATTAGAAGTTTGAACATCACTCTTAAGTGACATACTACAACTTAACCTGATTGCGATAAAAATTGTGGAAGGAATTGTGTAGGAAACAATCCCTAAATGATGTATCATAAGTTAAACTAATTTTAAAGAAAAATAAGGAATGCTTTTTAAAGTCTAAATCTAAGATTAAATTTGTAGGAAACAATCCCTAAACCTCATTGAAACTTTCCCAATTTGGCACCGGACAAATTTGGAAACTTTCACTCATCAACATTTTCAAATTTTGAAATTTAAAAATACATGTGGTGGCGGCAAGGGAGCCGGTAATTAACGGGAGGGAGTGGTAGATGTAGGGGAGGCCGGCGGTTAAGGAGATGGCCGGCGGGATGAATGGGAGGGGGCGGGTTTTGGGGAGATTGAACTTGGGTGGTAAGGTTAGGAGGTGGTGATTGATGGTGGGGAATGGCCGGCGGTGGACGTTGGGTAGAGTGTAATGGGTTTCCTATTGCTCCAACAAATTAATGAAGAACGATTTCAAATCCGTTTCAATTCAAATTTGAAATTGAAACCTCATTGAAACTTTCCCAATTTGGCACCGGACAAATTTGGAAACTTTCACTCATCAACATTTTCAAATTTCGAAATTTAAAAATACATGTGGTGGCAGCAAGGGAGCTGGTAATTAACGGGAGGGAGTGGTAGATGTAGGAGAGGCCGGCGGTTAAGGAGATGGCCGGCGGGATGAATGGGAGGGGGCGGGTTTTGGGGAGATTGAACTTGGGTGGTGAGGTTAGGAGGTGGTGATTGATGGTGGGGAATGGCCGGCGGTGGACGTTGGGTAGAGGGGAAACAAGGGAGGAGGATAAACCAAGAGCTACCGGTGGTGACTGTTGGGTACGACGGGTGGCCTCTCCTAGGCTCCACCAAACTCTCAACTCTCAAGCTCCACACAAAAGCTTCAAGAAGACAAAATGCAGGAAATTTCTTTAATATCATTCCTTCCCTTCAAAAGTACAAGAGGAAGGCTTTAAATAGCCTATTACAATGACATAAAGAAAAAGGACTCAAATACCCTCAAGGGGCTACATGACTCAATCCCTCAAGCAAGGGTAAAAAGGGAAAAATGCTGAAATAAAATACATCAATAAGAAAATAACAATATTAAAATCAAAAGTACATCGGAATAAGAAAATGTCAATACTAAAAATCAAAAGTACATCGGATAAATCGTGGCCGTAGATCTACGGCCACGTCGACGGTAGACTTTCCAACTGATGTCCCCATCAATATGGATGCATATTGATATGTAACATATGTTAGAATCAAAATGCATTGATAATTGTTTCCAAACGAATAATTATAAATATCATCATATTGTAGATTATTTTAAATCATGTGATACTGTTTTATTTATATCATACAATATTATTCCAACATCATGATATGATGACATTCATTGAATATTATTATTTAATAAATTGTGCCTCTTTTATAGTTCATATTGTATGCTCTATGTCGTATCGTTTATGCATTAATAAAAAGGAGTTATGCTGAGTTTAAATGGCAAATTCATTCATGATAAACAATTCTTTTTAATAAATTTTATCTAGGTATTTGGTGGACCGTGATTATAAGACTGGGCCTATCAACAATTGGTTTTTTGCTAATTTGGTACTTAAGTCTATGTGCAGTTCTTTATTTACCTAAAACTTCTATTAAGTTTTGGTAATTGTTGCTGAAGACTTTGTTTATGCAGTGAAATTTTTTTTATACTTAGATGTTCTACTTAAATTATTTATATATGAATCATTCTCTCTTAAATTTAAAACAATTTTAATTGATTTTGACTTTCAAGGCTTGTGAGCTACTATTGATATATTCATCTTGTCCTGTTTTGCTGTGGCGTACCATCTTTTAGACCTAGTATGTGACATGCATGGTCAAAGAATATGTCAATTTGAATTTAAAAAT